AATAATTAAAATAATACTTATATGAAATTGAGTCACTTTTTTAAGGTGTAATGTGCATTTTAAAGTGTAAAATTATAATCATCGATGGAAAATGAGCTACTAAAATATTAATATTTTTATAATAATTTTGATTATAAATTGTTCTACTTGTGGAGCTTTTCTAGTTGTCCAAATTAATGCATTGGCATTCTCCACGCGAGGACAAGGACGCAATTGTCACAGGATCTCCAAGTCCAAAATTTGGAATATTTTCACTCCTTCGAACTCTCACATCGATTCTATTTGACGCAGTGCAGTTAATCAATTCAACCCATGCGCAATTCAAGAGCTTAACTTTTATTTTATAGCTAAAATATGTCTAAGGGTTGAATGTGTCCAAATATGCATTTATAGTTTATTTACATATAAGCTTAACTTTTGATCTATAAGTTATAAAAAAGCATATATTATGTACATTGACGTTGGCATTATACACCTATTCATTATTAAGTTTGTGGAGCTTCACCAATTCAAGACTACAAATTTTGATCAACCTTTTTTCTTAAAAATTTTGATTTGCTTTTTTCGCTCTGTTATTGTTCTAAATTTTTTTAATTGGATACAATCTAAAAAGATAAATTTAAGTGACTTCTTGATCTAAAATATCTTATAAAAATACTTTAAAAACAACTTGAATTTATAACCCTTTTTGTTTATATATCTTTTGAGTCTCTTAACTACAAAAAAAATTGAAATATTCTTTTATAAACCATTGTTCTCCGCTAGATTTGGACCACAAGCATTCTCCCTCTCCGCCGTGGACGACCTTGCGAACTTCACAAATCACCATTGCCGACAACTAAAGATATGAGCATTGAAACTGATAAATGTTGCCAAATAATCAGAAATGAAAAGCGTGCCTCGGTCACCACAACACAATGAAGCATAGAACCTGTGGCCACCTTCACCCCAAATGCAGAGCATCGCTGCAACGTTAACATCTTGCCAACCACAACCACCAATACCATTATTCACGCTCTCTCCCTTTCCGCTTCTTTATGCAGCTGATGACAACTTCTATGACAATGGGAATCTCCCGTGCCTTCCCCATTTAGTTTTTTTTAATGAGTAAGAGAGAGAAGACAAAGGCGAGGAACAAAATCAACGATGTATATAATAATAATAAAAGATAAAAATATGTAATGAAATCGACATAGTTAACCATAAGGCTGAAAATTAAGAAATAAAATTGAAATTTTTAAAAGAAAAAATAAAATAAAATAAACAGAAAAATAAATAGCTAAAAGCATAGTTTTTCTCTCAAATATTACCATAATAATCTTGGTGTAAAACCTTTTTGGATTAACAGGTGCAGTGGTGATGAATATAAATTAAATTATCTTATCTAAACTTTTACATAGATTAAGATTAAATAAAAAAACAATAAGAGCACATGTTATATATATATCTTTACCTTTAAAATAAAAATTTTAAGTTTAAATTAAATAAACCCGTGCTTAAGATGTGTTTCGATGTCTAGGTTAATTAAGTCTTTATTATTAAAATTTGAGTGTATGTTTGATACAAAAGTGGAGAAAGTCTATATTTTTAACGAACTTTTTTATTTTTTTATTAGTCTTAGAGCGTTTTTTTTAATATGATATAATATAAATTTATATTAAATTTTACCTTTAAAATTTGTCATATTTTAGGCTTCAAGATTTTTTTTCAAACTTTAATGTGTCGTTCAAGCTTAAACTTACTGTTATATACCCTTTCACTCTTAAATATAAATTAAAATCTAAGTAAATTTTAATTAATTTAACATTGTTTAATGAAATTATTTTTAAAATATTTTAATTTAATTTATTATTTTATCAATTTTTTTTAAAGATACCAGTTATTAATTTTATATAATTTTTAAAATAGAAAGGAAAATCTCTTTAAAATTACATGAATATCTAATTTTATCTGGGTTCCATACAAATCGAATTTTAAAAATAAAAAATAAATAAATAAAATAAAATAAAAATTATATAAGACTTAAAATTTTAGAAGTTAGGATTTTAATTTTAAATAGATAGATATTTTGGTTAATGAAAAAATAATAATTAGAGGGTAGATTTTTAGGAAAAATATATGAGACAATTGAGAAAAATCTGACATGGGAAGTTGAAACCTTTCATCAAAATAAAAAATAAATAAAGAATTGTATATTAAATAAGATTTAGGTTTTGAAAATTGTATAAATAAGAAACGTAAGTTCTCCGGAAGACTTTTTGAATACAGTGAACTAAAAAAAATAAAATTAGAGAGCATGAAGAGAGAGGAAAAAAGAGAGATAAACTGAAACTGTGAAATATTTGAAAGAAAAAAAGTATTTTTAGGAAGCCAATATTCTGAAAGTATGGAAAATCTTTATAACACATATTGATATCAATTAGAGAAAATAAATTCAGAAGATTGAAGAGAAATATAAATGTGAATCCTAAACCGTTGTAAGGAGTTTTACAAAAAAAAAACTTTTATTTGTCATATTAAGTCAAATTTATTCATTTTATTATTTTTTTATTTTATTCTTCATCTACTATGTGAGTTTTACTGTTAATCACTCAAAAGTCTCAAAATTATTTTTTTTATTAAACAAAAACTATTTATTTTTACAAACCTAATATTTTCTAATTGCAAGTGAAGATATTTTTTTACTAAAAATAATCCTAAAATTCTAATTTTGTTTCTAATCCTGAAACTCTTTCCCTTTTGCAAACTTTAAGTAATCCTAATTTTTTTCCGATCCTAAATAATTATCTTTTTTTTAACCCCTAAAAATATCCTTTTTTGTAAACTTAAAAGTTTGATTTTTTTTTATCCCTAAAAAATTATTTATTTTTTCAAACTCTGAAAAATCAAATTCATTAAATTTTTTTAAAACCCTAAAGTCCTATTTTTTATCCAACCCTAAAAAATTTATCCTTTTTTTAAATATTTAAAAAAACTCTAATTCATTAAAAATCTTCTCTTTCTTTTTCAAACCTCAAAAATCTTAACTTTTTTTCTAACTCTAATAAATCACTCTTTTTTTCAAGCCTTACAAAAATTTACTTTTTTTACTCTAAAAAACTTTTTTTTACAATGATAAACTCTAAAAATATTATTTTTTTTCACAAATCTAAAAATTTTAATTTTATTTTTTATGATAGAAGTCCTTTTTTAACCCTATAAATCTAACCTTTTTATCTTAAACATTGAACTTTTTCTTAACTTACAAATTAAACAGATCTAAAAATATATATAATATTTTCTAACTCTGAAATTATTTATTTTTGTTTATTTTTATCAAGACACACATATTTTTTTTTTCTTTGAACAAAAAGAGTAGATTTTCTAAAAGAAAAAAAATCAATATTAAAAAAAATTACATTATGACTTTAATCAAAATTTATGAGAATAAATTAAAAATAATTTATTTTAATTTAAGAAATAAAACATTCAATAGAACTACTCTATTTTAGTCACATCTAACTTTTAGGATTAAAGTTAATTAAAAATATGTTTGAACCACACTCTTTTTGCTGTAATTAATTTATTTTTTATAATCTTTATTAATTTTATTCAAAATTTTGAAGATAAAAATTGTTATTTTTTTATGATCTTATGTCAACTTTCATATTTTTATGAAAAATTATTTTGATATTTATATAATTTTTTATCACCTTATATTTTATAGTTATAAAGTTAAATTAAAATATATTTTAAAAACTATTATTAAAAATAATTTTATTATACATGTATATAATATGATTTAAAGAAATTATAAAATTTAATTCTTTAATTATCACAATTATATATTTATTTTAAAATAAAACATTTGTAGATTAGATAAACTATTAAATAGTTATTTATAAACTCTTTTAAAAATTCTTAAAATTCGATTAACAAAATAACAACAATTTAGACATGTTAGTGTAACAGTCATGGTTTTTCTTTGTTAATGATTTATTTATTTATTTTCAATCACAATCTGTCAATTGTCATTACAGTAAAATAATTCTTTGTATGTTAAAAATTTTATAATAAAAATGCGACCAAACCAAAACAATAATCCATTTCTAAAGTTATGACAAATTTTGTTTTTACCAACTCATTTTCACTTTGTGTGTGACAGCTGGCAACCAGAATGAGCGAGTGTTCAAATCTTTCCTTTCCACACCGGCAATTCCGGGCACCACCATTGATTTTCCTTTGTCTCCTTCGATTTGCAACATGTGATTATATATCTAAGAAAAAGACAAACACTCAACTCAATCTTTAAAATAATATATTTTATCTATAAAAATAAATTCATTATTAAATACTCCAAATTCAAAATATCAAACAGTCAAATTCTTCAGTGACTTTTAAAAGAATTATTTTAAACAACTTATTAATTTCGAAGAAAATATTTGTTATATCATTTTAGCTTTTGGTAAAACCATGATTAATTTAAATTAATATTTAAAATATTTAATTAAATAAAAAATGGTATATGTCTAATTTTAAATTTTTATTTGATGATATTGCTTCAAATATATTATTAATCAATGTCTTAAAAACTTATTAAAGAATTACTAAATGAAACATTAAAATTTATATGAAATAATTTGATTGAATTTTATGTTAATTTACTTTTACTAAAACTATCAATAGAATTAGATTAATTTATAAAAATTATTAAATTAAATATAAAACTTCAAGTATCGTATATTTATTATTTAAAACTATCAATTGACTATTTATTTTGATAAATATTAATCGGTGTTTTAAACATATTAATTAAAAATTAATAAATAAAAAATATTATTAAAATTAATCCCTTTAAAAGACAAAAACAGGCAGAATAAATTTATTTCAAGTATTATGTTTAGAGATAAGGAAAGTGAAGGACAAAAGAGTAAATAAAAGGTTTTGGGAGGGTGATTTTGGTAACTGAGCATTGCCGCGTAACTTCCTTCGACTTTCCTGCGAGTTATCGTGTCAAACCCAATCTCCACCGTCAGATCCACATCCTTGTTCGCAGATCTCGAAACCCTAGAACCCCCTCTAACTACGTTTTTAATATAAATCGCAATTCAAACCCTCTCTCTCTTCCCCAATCTTCTTCTTCTTCTTCTTCTTCCATTTCCTTCTCAACTCTTCCTTCGTTTCAACTCAGCTCTTTCTTCCCATTCTTATTATTCGAAGTGTGCGCGGAACGCAGAATCTGTTGTCGTTTCTTGGTTGGATGGAGAGAGTGGCGTCTTGGGGTGCAACGACGTCGTGTCAGAACAACGGGTACGCGAGTTGGGAGGAGGTGTACGTGTCGAGCGATAAGGGAAGGAGAGAGGTTCATTATTTGCTGAAGAGAAGAGGTGGTGGTGGTTCGGATCTCGCTGTTGTTGGAAAAGAGAAGAGCTTGAGACACATGACTTATCACTACGCTATTAGGAACGCTTCTTTTGGTCCCTTTTTCAAGCTCAAATCGCGTAGAGAGGTTATTGATTGGTTGGATTCAATAGTTTCAGGTTCGCCCTCACGCGTCTTCACCTTAATTATTCTCCTTTTCTGAAAAAAAAAAACAAGGTCTCCAAAATTGTTTTTAATGGGTTCTTTCGTTTTTGTGAAATTTAAAGTATTTTGTTTTTTATTTTTTGCCGTTTGGATCTTCGTTTTTGGTTTTGGGGCGGCACGGAAGAGGCCGTATTCTGACTCTTTCTCGGATTGGTTTGTGTTCTAGATCTGAAAATTATTGCTATGCGCGAGATTTCCAGGTCTTAGATCTAAAATTACTTTTTCCTCCTTTCTATAAATTTTCTGTTTTTTTTTTATGTTGTTTTTTCCGTGGCCTTGAATCTGTACTCATAGCCCGGGTATCTGTCGTGAATGCCACTGGCTTATTGTTATTGTTATTATTGTGTTTTTTTTTTAAATTTATTTTGTTTTCCTGGATTTTGATATTGTTGTATTTTTAATTTTGACTAATTGAAGCCAATTTGTCAGATTCGTCTGCCGGGGATGCGGCTATGAACGGAAAACATGGTTCTGAACATGAAATTGGAACATTGAAGGTATCTATTATGAATATATAATGAATTCCTTTGTTTTTTTTATTTTAGTACTTTACCCCTTTTAATGTCAAATTTGTGTTGAATCCCTTTTTTTCAATTGTTGTGTGCTTTTCAGAGTTTGCGCTACTCTACGAAAGAATTTTTATGGATAGGATCTCCATGGACCTGTAGGAAAAGGAGAAAGCACTATCAAGCGTTTAAGAGGAATGGATTTCAGATATCTGTGAGTCTTGTTCTTTGTTTACCCATTTCATCTAGTTTTTATGTTAGCCACACATCATTTGTAATCTGACTCTGGTAATTCTATCTCTTTCTTTGCCTTGTTAAAATGTTTTCAGGTGTATGATTTTGTATTTGTTCTGGCGGAAGAGGACAAGCGTCTGGTTGCCTACTTGGAAGACCTTTATGAGGATTCCAGAGGCAACAAGATGGCTGTGGTACGCTGGTTTCACAAAATTGATGAGGTTGGTATTGCTTTGCCTCACAGTTTTAGTGAGAGAGAGGTTTTCTTTTCCCTTTATCTTCAAGATCTGAGTATTGAATGCATAGATGGATTGGCTTCCGTCCTCAGTCCTCAGCATTACGAAAAGTTTCAGAATGAGGCTCGACGTACTCACTTGGAACCATTCGTATGCAACCACCGGTTTGATAATGATGATGTCAAACCCTTTGATATAACACAGATTAAGGGTTATTGGAAACAGGAAATACTCAGGTATATGTACACCCAATTGGACTCAAAGTCTAATGGGAGTTCTGGGCAATCTGATGATGGCCCTGAGCTGGAAGAAAATCCCCAGTCTACCTCTGCAATCAGACCTAAGAAGAGGCTACGCTTTACCAAAGATGATGTCAAAGATGGGGTTGATTTAGCTGATCCTAAATTGGAAAATTTGAATAACAGTAAGATTAATACCAAAATCAGTACTGAGAACCATTATATGAGACTGACTGGGAACACAAAGATGACAGCCATCGAAGGGACAAATGATTTTGGTTCCCAGCATTTATTTGTAGGTTACCTAGTTGAGGTTCTCTCCCAAGACAGTGGGATGAGAGGATGTTGGTTTAGAGCATCTGTCATTAAGAGGCACAAAGACAAAGTGAAGGTGCAATATCAAGACATTCAGGATGCAGCTGATGAAACCAAGAAACTTGAGGTGCGTTAAGGCCAGCTTTTTACGTTTGTAGTCAATTTTGGATGAATTATTATGCATGTATGCAGGGACTGAAGTGATTTTTTTTGTTTTTCTTTGGTTAAGGAATGGGTTTTAGCCTCCAGAATTGCAGTGCCCGACGAACTTGGTCTTCGTGTACATGGGAGGACCAAGATCCGGCCAGCTCGGGAGCCTAATAAATGTGAATTGTCATGGGTGGGTGATGTTGGTTCCATTGTTGATGCCTGGTGGCATGATGGATGGTGGGAAGGCATTGTTGTTCACAAAGACTCCAAAGCTAGTTATCATGTTTATTTCCCAGGTATGGCTTTCTGCTGTCTTTTTATTGTGCATCATAAAAATACTTGTTAGCTTGGTTTGATATAACAGGGCATCGCTATTCTGCTCGTTATATCATGGACTATTTTTTTATGGTGTGATATGATTAATTGGAATGGTAAACCTTTTTGCAGGGGAAAAAGTGGTGTCAACTTTTGGTCCTGGTGACTTAAGAAATTCTCAAGATTGGGCGGGGAATGGATGGGTGAATGTGAGGGAGAGGCCTGATATTGTGACTTCTGTTTTATCAAGCTTGAAAACAAAACAAAATTCATGCAAATCCCATGACAGCATATCAACTGTAGCAACCAGTGGAGATGGAATACAATCTAAGCAAGCAGATACTTGCTTGGATTCTGAAAGGGACAGACCAAGAAAGCCTGAAGTGGTTCTAGATCTTTTGAAGGATGATTTGTTATCCCAGTTAAGGTGGAAGACCACCAGGAAGAGGAGACTTGGAAGTGGTACCTCCTACCAGAAGCTAAGGTGCACTAACAAGCATCGGAAAAAGTCCCCAAAGATTCTGAAGTCAGATGATGCTCCTGACAGTTTTGTGATCCCAGCATCGTTGAAAGTTGATCATGATGACTGCAAATATGCAGGGGATCCTTCCATTTTCAGTTCTTCAGTTGTGCCTTCTTTAACTAACTTGGTTATGTGTAGGTGACTCCATGATTGATTTCTCTAGAATGTCAAGTGTCTGGGTTCTCTGCTTCTCTTGGCCCTTTGCCTATTAGTACATGTTAGCCCTTACAAGTTAAGTTACATCTTAGTGCATCCATTCGATGCCTTTCTTATCCTGCGTTCTTCATACAGGGTCTCTTCACGCCCTTGTTAACATAGAAATTGTATTTTAGTTATTTTCTTCTCACCTTTTTAGTTTGTGTGATTTGTGGCATCGAAGCTTCATTCTATTTGGGTGCTTGTAGGAGGCCCAAGGAGGCAAGGATGATGCCCATGCTAAGTTTTGGCAGAAGAAAATGTAACGTAGTTGAATAACCAATGATGGCTTTGACTTAGAGAGAATAGGTTGTCTTCTTTTCACATAGAATGTTACCTATGTAATTTATGTAACCTTCCTCCTCCATAATAATAGAATTTTTATTGTTCTTTTTGCTTGTTTATCCTGTGTGGATATGTATAATAGTAGAATTTTCATATAGATATGGACGGCACTGTTAACTGACGATTCCTCTTACTCTTCCAATTTTTACATGAATCCTCCACTAGCTTGATAGGCTCTATTGATTTCTCCTCGAAATCAAGTGATAGGAAAGTATCGGTGGCTCCGATTATCATTAAATATCATCAGTATGTTTTATTTAATTGTTTTACAGAAATCCTGCTTCATTTTCTCATTTAGAGCATTTTTATTGGACATATATTTAAGCATTAGTTTTTCAGGATTATAAGTAATAGACAGTTGAGTATACAAGTGGCCAAACTTTATTATTAACAAACGATATTTTACTAAAATACATTTTATGAAATAAATGAGTAACTCAATTTATTGTTGGAGTGTTTATGGGATGGATTGGGTATTTAGACTTAAATTTGACTCAATTGAAGAATTGATATTAAATAAATAAACATTAGGTCAACTTGATTTGGATATATTTTTATTGGACATAATAAATAAAATGAATCAATTAGAGCATATTTATTGGACATATATTTAAGCAATGGTATTTTCAGGATTATAAGTAAAAGACAGCTGAGTATATAACTAACCAAAACCTTATCATTAACAACAAAAAGATATATAACTAAAATACATTTTGTTAAATAAAATGAGTAACTCAATTTATTGTTGGTGGAGTGTTTATGAGATGAATTGGGCATTTAGAATTAAATTTGACGCAATTGAAGATTTGATAATAAATAAAATAACATTAGGTCAGCTTGATTTGCTGGCATAATATATTAATTTTAATATAAAATATATAAATAAACTATAGAATTAAAAATATAAAATTAGTATAAATATAATATAAAGTTATACCAAATATTATCTATTATTAAGTCATCATGTCTTATTATTAATTATAATTGTAAAAAAAGTGTATATTTTGTAAAAGGATTAGATTGGAACAATTTGAAGTGTAAGCTAAATTTATCTTTAAAACACATTAGATTTTATTTTTGCAATATAAACCCATCAAAATTAACTTAGCTGAATTAGTAGGATATGACGAATCATAACCAACCTTAATTATATGGATACAAGTGCTTTAAAACTTTTTATAAGAGTCAACATTGTAAGTTAAATTCTGTTTTATGCATTGGTTTTATAGAATAAATTTGAAAATTTATTTTTTAGATAATTTCTGTTTTTTTATTTTATTTTTTGCTATTCTGTGTATGTTTTTTTAACGTAGTTGTGTCTTGTTTATGTTATATGAACCTTATAATGTGATTAAGTTAAATTTTTAGTTAGTTATTTAATGAATGTAGGTTTTATATTTTTATTATTTTTTAAAATCAATTTTAAATGTTTTTAATTAACACTATATATAGTAAAATATCTGTAAAGTATTATTAAAATAATGTTTATTAATTAAATTACTCTTAAAGTTAAACTCAAAGATAAGTAAATATAACCTGATTCATCTATTTTATGATGAATCAGAAATGTAACATATCCATATGTTGAAAAGGAGACTTGCATTCGTCAATCCAAATCGTCTAAATTAGTCAAAGCCGCCAAGTGCAAATAATTGAATACATCCAATTAGAAAATATGCGTTCGTGCTGATATTAGCCATTTTGAGTTTGATCATGTATACGACCTCAATAACAACAGTGGAATAAAAGGTTAAAAAGGATAAAGGAATGTTAATAATACAATATTTTATATTTTTTATTATTAGTTAAAAATCATAAGTATTATATAAATATTATTTTTAATAAATTTTAATCAATAAATAAAAAACATATTAAAGGGTCCTCTTCATGTTAATGATAAGAAGGAGAAGCCGCCTTTTTTTTTTTTTATTAATTTGTTTGTTGGTCCACAAAGAGGAGCCACTTGTTTGACTTTAGCTACGCACAGTGGCCTACGGTCTTGGATCCAATGTGCTTAATGTCTTTCATTAAATATTTTAGTTACTTCATCAGATAATTTTTACCAGACAATTTTAATTTTTTTTATTTATTCTTTATAAATGAAATTAATGAAAATCATAAATTAAAACTGGTGAAGAAAGAAAGTAATTTTCAAAATTGAAGTGTTCATAATAAAAAAAGTTTAATAATATTAAATGATATATATATAGTATTTTAAAAGGTTAATAAAATCAATTAATTTCAACCATTTTTATTAGTCAGTATAATTTAACGACTGATAAAAAAGACCATAACGAATTCTTAAAATAAATGTTAAATAGCATTTGTGTTTTTGATATAATTAATTTTTCATTAATTACTTTTTATTTTCTTTTTTATAAGGAGTGATTAGTCAGCATTTGCCTTGGATAAATAATAGTGGACCATCAACATAACCTGCAACCTTAACTCTTTCAATTTGTTTAAGCCAGGGCATTGTCAAAGGAGCATCCACTGTTAGGACTAGAACAGGGCCAGCTTGGCTTTCTTAGTCACTTTCATGATGCTGAGCCAAGACCTCCTTAAACACCATTAGTTTAATCGATTCATTGAATTAGCTTATTATCTGGTTTAATAAGCAACCTTGAGAGAATAATTATTGTGAAGAAAGAAACAATTAAGCACTATGTGGGGCTGCATCAGCACGTTAGTGAAAGAACAATCTCTGTCAACTTAGGCATAAAACCTTTTTCACTTTACCATGTTGAGCTATTATGCTCTGTCCATTTTTCTTTCCTACCAACTACTGCACAATTGAGATGGGGTTGCTCTATCAATGCAATTGGAGCTGTTCATAGATCATTTTCTTCACTTTTCTCTCTCTTCAAGATGGGATTGAAGCTGCAAACCTGTTAAATATATATATAAAGGCACTTTATGTAAAGGGTGCACACCTAATCCAACAGGTATGGCTTTAGAATGTGGTGCAAAAAAGGAGCTTCAAGAAGTTGGTATAAAAAACTCAAAGGGTTTTCCTCTTGTTGGGACTAGTCTAGCATCTATGGAGTCTTTGTCCTTGCCACAGGTCCGTGTTTTAGCTCACTCTATTTTCGGTTTTGGCCATGGATTTCTAGAATCTACTTCCTGATGGATTGGTTGTGATGATGCTATGAAAGCAGGTTCAGGAGGTTGTTCTTTCTGCAGACATGCAATGTGAAAAGTGCCAGAAGAGGGTAACTGACATTATTGCAAAAATGAATGGTGAGCCCTTATTTTGTTTAAACTCCCTTCTTTTGACTTTTGGGAAGAGAATAGATTTGTGGATCAGTTTGTTTGAGATGTTTGCCAAATTTTTTGATTTATTTGAAATGAAGGTTTATAAGAAAAGAAATTTTTTTATATTAAGGTTCAATTTTTAATTGAGTATGAGAAGAAAAAATGTTGAGAGGATGTACATACTTTAGTATTTTAAAAGAAATTAGTCTCTAAATGTTTATAAGCAAAGAAAATTTTCTAAGAACACAGGAGCACTTGATTCCCAAGAGGATGCCGGAGAAGAGAGGGAGTGAGAGGAAAGAAAGACAATAATAAGAGGTGGTCCTTGTTGGTTTCCCCCTAGGAATAGCCTGGCATATGTTTTGGCAGTAAGTGTGAGAGAACTTTAATTTATAACACATTTATTGTTATTTACTTTTTATTAAGCCAACCTTTGGAGTCTTCTGTTCTTGGTTCTTCTGGAAGCTCTTGTTTCTCTCAACCACCCATGCTATTGTTAATTACACACTTGACATCTTCTAAGTAGTCTCTGGTGGCTCACCTCTAAGCCATTAAGCCACTTAGTTATGAGGACACAGAAAACAACAAAGCCATCACGAGCTTATCGTATATTCAAACACAATTCAACTTAATATAAAATATTTGCTCACAAAAAATAGCTATTGCTCTGATTTTACATTCATTCATCTTCTGGTTTGATTGCTTCTATTAACAGAACTATAAGAGCCCAATTCTCGTCCTGTCCAACATGTCTCTTTCCATAAAATATTTTAATCCACATTAACATTCAATGATTAAGATAAACCAAGCTAGTGAAATAAAAAATGGTTAATCTAGTTCTTGAATTGCTCAATATAGTTATCAAATTGGTCAATCACAAATGTGAAATTGGTTATTGATAACGTGGGATTGGTCAATTTTTTTTTTAAAATGAAGAGAGGATGGAGAGAGAAATAGTGGTTGGAGAAGATTCATGAATTTCTTAATAGTATTTCTTAATAATTTTTTAGAGTATTTGGTAGTAAGAACATGATTTAAATCAGTTGATAATGCTCTGTATTTGATGAACTTTGCGTCAAAATAGCATTGCCATTTCTCTTGTTAACTCTTGATACGTGACTCATGAAATTGTTAACTCTTGATACGTGACTCATGAAATTTGATTCTTCAGTAGAGACAGAATCTGTGATGGTGAATGTGTTGGAGAAGAAAGTGACACTTACCTTTAGATTACCAACTGTGAGTGAAGTTATCACTCGGCAAATTACTCCCATCAATAGGAATTCTCTCCCTAAAGTTGCCATCATCAAACGGATATTTCGCTCTTCCCGTGGCTAACCACATGTTCATAAGAATATTTTGTAGATTGATTTGACAATGTACAGAAGAAAGTTTATTGTATTCATGATTGAATTTCTTTTGTGATTGCTATATGAATCTGACACAGATCATAGTTATTGTAATCACGATTCAACATGTTTTCTGATAGCTTTATTAATTTGCCTCACCCAGGGAAATATTTTATATGGTTCGAGATTACGTGTTCTCAATTGTACAAATTATGTGACGTACACAAATTTAAAAAAAAAAACCAATATATTTTTTTAATTAAAAATTACTATTTATTCATTCTTTGACTAATATTCTTATAACGTAAATTTATACAAATAATATTTTTAGAGATGTTTTTATTTTTCTATCTATTAGATGAAATTTGGATCACACAAAGCACAACGAGTCATTCAAATGAATCCACTTTGTCCTTGCTCAAGTGACTTTATACTACTTGATTATAAAAGGTTTTTTTTCACTATGTTTTCAACATTTGAACTAAAAGTTTTTCCTTAAAGCTAACATCATTAAAGTTTGAGAATATTATGTATCGAGGAGTTCCATGAGCTGTTTATATAACTTCGAAATTAAATAATAAAGAGATGCTTTGCAGTTTTCAGCATTGCTTTAGGCTGTCCAAACCATGTGCATGAAGAAATGCTTCCCCTTGCCATGTTGTTTTCAAATGAATTAAGCTCTAAGGTGAAGTCAAGGATAAAACGACTTAAAACACAAACAACTACTAAGGCTTAGTTCAACCCAAATAGAATCAGATTCCAAAATGAAGGAAGATAATATTTTATTTGTTTTTGACAATAAAAAAAATTATAAATATCAGTTGATCCATGACCTCCAACATTCATTTTCTCTAAACACAAATTCCTTTTCCATTTGCCTTTTGGCTTATCCAAAATAAAAAACCAATCGTGGGTTCCGTCAATTCCAACCCCATGTCAGAAAAGGCAAGTTTTTGTTCTATTCCCACGAAAATTCTTATTTTTCGAAGGCCAATGGCTCATTTTGGTCAAGTGTTTTTATTGATTCAAATGTTAAGTGGATCCATTTTTACCATTGCAGTATTGTTGCATGATCATGAGAATAAACGTTGATTGCAATGCTTGTTGTAGAAAATTAAGGAGAATCATTCTAAGGATGAAAGGTAAAAAAGACTTAGAAATGAATTAATGTTGTGAATTTTCGTTAATGTTCAAATAAAACTTGGGAAAGTTTAATAACCCATTTTTTTTCATTTCATATTGAAGTCATAGAGAACCATATGATAGAGAAGCAACAACGCAAGGTATATGTATGTGGCAGATTTGTACCAGCTGATGTTGCAATTAAGATAAAGAAGAAGATGAACCGTAGAGTTGAGATCCTCGAAATTCAGGAATTCGAAGGCGATGTTCAAAATGAACAAGAAGAACAAGAATAGAAACCAGATAAAAGAGAGAATAGGGAACCAAGCCTTGGCATAGTGTATATTAATAGGTTATTTCGCAACCGTGGTTCCAAAACTTGTTGGGAATTGTAGTTTATGATGTATTTAAAACAAGATGAAAATGGAAGTAAAGTAGGATCTTGAAAAATAAAATACAGAGAGTTCTTAAATTTATTTAATTTATTTTTTTGTTACAACATGGGTAAGAATATAAGATGACGTCGAATTCTACTTCTTATATTATTAAGTTTAAAAATTTTTATACTCAATTTAAAATTTTTATTTAAATTTTTATTGTTAAATTAAATGAAAAGCTTACATTAAATATAAGAATTTTTAGACGTACACGGTATATTAAAATTTTGTCCCTTATTATTAATATATTAGTAAAACTAAGTAGAGATAAAGACCATAGAATTATTACTTTAGTTTAAATTGTTAGCAATTTTATTCAATATTACAATTATTCAACTAATTCTTGAGAGTTAGCGATTTTATTTGGAAAGAAAATATTTACCAAATGAGATTTTAAATTAATTTAGGGTGAATTAAACTAATACCCATATATAAGATATGAGCTTTCTTCCTAATACTTAATCATTTGTGCCCAGCATAGTTAGCCTAACGCTTCTATTTCTAATTCTAGACATGACTAGATCAGATAGGCTTCTGCCTGTGAAAAACAAAGTAGAGTGAGCAAACTTGTCAAATATCATGATAAAATGCAATTATTTGTGGAAAGCAAAACAAATCACTTCAATTTATTATAAAATGCCAACCATATGATCATTAAAATGAATCACTTTAATTGGATGCTTTGCTTTGGACTTATATTTTTAATTTTCTTTTTTGTATGCGAAAAATTTACTTTTATTTTAAGAAACTATATAATTGTTAAAAATAATAAAAATATAAAATAATATTGAGCATTTTCTTTTGACTCAATACGACTTTCTTTTCCTTAAAGAGTGAAATTATTAAGTTCGGATTAATATAGAAACGATGTTTTAACTTATTATTTGAATGTTTTTACGATAAAGTAAAAAAAATATTCTATCATAATACCCCTTAAAACAGGAAAGAAATAAAAATAGTATATTATAAAATACATTACATCCAATTTTAAATAATTCAAAATGTGAAATATAATATCATTTTATTTTGTTATACTTCATTTCATCTTTTTTCATTAATTTAAACGCAACTAATAACAATCATACGTTTAGAAATTATAAAGTTTGATCATTTTGAATAATAAGATAAAAATAGAAAAAAAAAATATTACTTAGTTAATCAAACAAATTATCAACTTCGTTGAAGAGCCCATAACTCAAGTAAACATCTAAAAATAGATATTTTAGTCGTAAACACATTTTTATTTTAATGACGTTTAACATTCAATTTAAATTTAATCTCATTTCTTTTACTAATTAAAGTTCACCTTGTTTAATCCGAAATTTAAATAAAATATTTTTAAATAATATAATTTAAATTTCTTAAAATTTAAAATTTTCTGAAAATTTTAATTGCCTCAATAAACAAAAAATTATTTATTTGCGACGCACACGCTGGCAACGCGAGGCACGTGCGAGGTGGTTCCTCCTCCTTTCCATAACCTATGTCCTCCGTAGAATTTGACCCAACCCACAACCTCCGTGTTCTTCCGATCAACGAAGCAAAACCCTAACCCTAACCTTTATCATCAACTTCTCCGATCAATCGATCATGACCACCGACGACAGCCACAATTCCCTTCGCAAGCACCGCCGCTCCTCCTCTCCGGAGGACGCTGACAGATCCTCGAAGCGCCACCACCGCCTCAGGAGCACAAAGCGCAATGTAGAAAGCGAATGCGATTGCGAAACTGCTGCGGAGGCTCCTTCTCCGACTCTGTCCCGTAATTCTGGTCCGAGTTGTCACGTGCCCGATGACGACGATGTGGAAGAGGGAGAGATTCTCGAAGAAGATGATGGTGTTACTCAGAAACAGCTTGGCGAAAGCGACGTAGCCGTAGATCGGGATGTTCGATCTGGTAAAGCAAATCTGGTATGTTCGATCAAAATTTTGTGAAATTTGTTTATTTTTCTTTCGCGATGCTAGCTGCCGAGGAACTATAAGTCATTGATTTCGTAATTGTATTGTTTCCGAAAAAAAAAAACTAAAAACAAAAACAAAAATATAATAAGATAGAATTCTTCTTGTATAGTTGAAATCACTTTTCTCGTTGACCAAACTGAGGATTGTGGTTCTATATATTTTACATTGTATAATGATTTTCTTATTCGGGAGAACTTGGTGGAGTATACCTGTCATGGTGGAATCCACAGTATATGCAGAAAAGAGATATGCGCAGGGAATAATGGAGTATACGTTTTCACTCAATACCTCTATTGAAGCAAATCAAATCACATATTACAAAAATTTCCCTAATCACATCTTATGGACCCCATTTATACAATGACTACAGCACCATAGTGGACAACCTAAGCACAGGGCCAACAACTAACTACAAACTCAACACAGCGTTTACTAAAATGAAAAATGATACTACAATACCCTATCTGTATCCCATTGACACATAAGAAAAAACCTGCTTGCATTACATGAATGTGTTTGAATTGCTAAAGAATTCTCTATCAGGAATTTAGTTAGTTTGAGTCAATTAGTTAGAAAGTCTGGTAAGAGTATTTAGCTGTCTAACTCTATATACACATTCATTGTAATAGAATTATTGAAAAGGAGGATTAATCTTTGCTTCTTGTCATTTCCATTTCCTTCACTTTTGTATTTCCTCTCTCCTTCAATACTTTACAGTCTCTGTAGGTGTGTTAGTGAGGAATGCTGGCTTTACAGATTATTCGTAATAGAGGCTACATTTCATTGTATTTATTTTTGCTCATGGACTGATGTGAATTTGTTATTTGCTTTATTGATCAATTATTGTTTCTTTATGCTTAATTACTTCTTTGTGTTGTGCAGGGACTTTTTGTCCAAGAGACTTTGTTGCATGCTGATGATTTAAAAACTAGAAGGGAGTGCATTAGCGATTATAAATTTACTAGTCCTGATGGAGAAGACGGGACATACTGTCATAGTAACATTAACCATGAAATACATGAAGATGAAGGTTTTCCTAAGTATTCAAGTGGTGATCGTCGAGATGGAAAGGATGCTATAGCTAGTACAGATGGTATGGACATTGGGCTTTTGGATCATAAATCTTCTAAAGGAGATAAGAGGCATAATGGAGAACATGGATGTTTTAATGGAAACAAGAAACTAAAAGGTAACTGTGATGATGAAGATGTGGACGTTGATAAAGGGAAAATAGATTACTGTAGAAACTCTTTCTCTGAGAGTGGAGGAGAGAGATATAGAATGGCAAGATGTTCACCTTCTCGTGATAGATATAGAAGTCAATCAAGATCATATGGTCATATTAGTAACAGGTCTCATTCTTGTAGTATAGTAAAAGAATATGCTCATTCCAAGAGAAGGCACTCTGGTGAACAAGGGGACCTTTCATATGTGAGTATACTAAAAACTGACTATGACCTTGATGATGAAAGAGTGATTGCAAACATATGGGAGTGTGGTCATGTCAGTAGAGATTTGGTAGTGGATGAAGGAAGGGAACATAGAGCAAGTTACCACATGCGGGAGGGCTTGGATAAGGATAGGAGTAGGGGCCAAGATGTTGATAGGGACATTAAGATGGAAAGAAAGCAAGAGAGGAGCAGGAATAGGGAGGTCAATTGGGTGTGTAGAAAGGAAAAGGAACATGAAAGGAGCCATGAAAGGCATAGAAGGGATGTAGAAAAAGATAGGAGCAGGGAAAGGGAATGTTATAGGGATAGGAGAAGAGAAAAGGAAAGAGACAGGAGCAGGGAGATGGTGTTTGAGAGGGATAGGAGAAGGGATAAGGAAACATATCGAAGCAGCAACAGAACAAGGGGTGGTGAGGGAGATACAGACTGGGAAAGTGAACAGGATGATAAGAATCAGGAAAGGAATAAAATCAAGGACAGGGAGATGGAGAGGGGAGATGATAGAAATAGGTACAAGGATAGAGGCACTCTGGATGATAAGTATCCCTGTCAAGAGGATGGTTATGATAGTCATGATAGGTATAAAAGGCATTCAAAACAGAAAGAAACTGAATGCCAGCAAGAAAGAAAAATAAATTCTGGGCCTATAAAGGTTTATAACTCTTTGGGAAGTACCTCAGTAGATGATGAAAGCAAACTAGAGAGGTATTTAATTTTCTAAAAAAATTTCTTATCAGTATGGATCTTCTTTATACTTTTCTTTTTCTGTTTTGGCGTATTTTACTATGTATATTTTATATCTAAATTGAGTACATTGTTTGTAGAGTGGAGGATGAACAAGATGACTTGGATGAGAAGATTACATTGCAATTACCTGATCAAGAAGAGGAAGATCTCAATAGGGTTAAAGAGGAGAGTAGAAGGAGAAGGGAAGCAATCTTAGAGAAGTACAAGAAGAAACAGCAACAAGTTGAACAAACTACAGAAAATGAAGGAAAAGGTATTTTTCCCCCTTTTTTGTCTTTTTCTTTTCATTATAATTTTAAGTGTATTAACTAGTATTAGTTAAGATGATCATTGAAAAAGTTTGAAGTCTCTTCTGTATCATGGCTCAGCTAAGTAGTTTGCCTTTGTCTTTGATGTACTTGCCAAAAGTATGATTTTCAAATTATTGCTCCATATGTTACTATGCTGGATCATATTGATTGAGAGTGACTTTATTTTTAAATTGAAATTCTAAACCATGTGCCCTATAACATGTTCTTTTTGCTTGCATATGTGGCTCGCACATATTTTGATCCAATAATTGAGTCCAGAAATATCATCTTATCCTCCTCTTGATTTAAAGAGGACTTGTCATTAGGATACAAAATTATTTCAAGTGCTATGCACAGTTTTATGTGCGGTTATTGAATCGCAATTCTAATTGTGATTTTCTGGGACTAATTGTGAATTGTGAATCATAAATCATATCAAATCTTAAGATTCAGAATCATGATAAAAAATAACTTCAAATGTCATATTTGGGAAAAAAATAAATCATAAGTCATAAAGTCATTACCATTCTTAGGCATTCCCACTGGCATTTAACCCAGTCAACCATATCACACTCCCTTATCTTCTATCCCTTATTCTTGCCACTTAATCATTCAGTTATAACAAATTAACATTAATCCCTACCCCTTGCGTAAGTGCTTCTTCTTCCTAGGGTATTCTTGGTTAATGGGTCTAAAACACTGTAACTGGTGTCAGTTGGGGATTTTTTTTTATTAAGTGCGAAAATTATTATACTGATATTCACTTATTTGTAGTATGTTTCTGTGTATGGCTGTATATTGAAAGTTGAAAAATGTGAGGTGAGTTGTCTATTCAAATATTTAAAATTGAGATGGTTGTAGTGCAATTTATTGTCTGATTGTCTTTTGTTATTTATCTTTTTTTGCGAGTCATGCTCATGATATACAATAACCTGCCTGATAATTCTTCATATAAAATTACAATTTATTTTACTTTTTCGTTTTCCTTTTATCATCTCTTTGTTTTTGGTTTCTTTTGAAAATTCATTTTTCTTGTAACCTTCCTAGTATTTTTTATTCATAGTTTCTCTAGTTATACATAAGTATTGGGCAATGAGCGAAATAAATGAGATAAGGGTCAGACCTGATGTATATACCATTTAAGAAGTATCAATGAATTTTATGTGCAATAGACAAGAACACTGTTGTAATGACACTGATTGACTGAGTATGGACAGACAGATACATATAGAAGATTTCTATGTTGGGTTAAATTACTTATGTGATAATTGTATTTTATTGTTATTCCATTCCCTTCCTCCAACTGTACCACTTTTAATAGCTTTCTAATGCATATGTCTTGAACTATGATTAGACAAACAAGCTGTGGAGATTCCTTCTGCTATTTGTGAAGCTCTTGATGTTACAAGCAATGGTGTTGGTAATGCAGAAACATTTTTCTCTGTCAGGAAATCTCCTCTGGAAAATGAGAGTGTTGCTTTTGATAAGATTTCTGGTGCTAGAGGCCTTGGAGAGGGTAGTCCTAAGGTTTGTACTTAAATTAGTTTATGCTTTAAAGTAAATATTATTACTCATAATTGAGTGGATTTATCTATACTCTTGTATCTATTTGGCTTTGATGTTCAGTTTTTACACTTACAGAGTGAGAGATCAGGTGACAAGTTTTGTGATGATATATTTGGCGATACACCAACTGGAGTTCAGAAATCAGTAAGTGTTCTGTTAAATATATTCTAATTATGAAACATGAATGGCAGGAGCTATGCTGTGTTTACTTAGTTGTATAAATTGTGTTTGTTGCAAGTTGCTCTCGGTACTGATTAAGGATAAACCTTGTACACCTTGGACAGTTGTTTATAAGGGAGTCATGGGTTTTCTGTGTCCTGTATCCTTTCAACTGTTTTTACAGTTATTCATTTCTCTATGTCTATTCAAAGTTTACTTCTGTACACGTGTACACGTTCTCCCTAATTCATTCTTACTTATAATTGTCATAACTTCAATGCTATTTGTCATTTTCTGCTGGGTGCCCATCTATTGTAATCAACTTATTGAGCAACTGTTGTTCACCATTATATGATTGTATTATATTTTCTTCAGCTCTTTTTAGGCTAGATAGTTGTCAATCTACTCACTGTTTATTTTTTTTTCTGGTTGCTTTTTATGTTTGTTTTCTTTTTGTATTAAGATTTTCTTCCTTCTTTACAGGCCAAAGGAGATGGTTTACAAATTGAGAGGGGTGGCCTACATGACAATTGGGATGATGCAGAAGGTTATTACAGTAAGTTATTCCTTTGATTGTGTCTAGCTGTTTTGATCATTCTTTTTTGATTGTTGCCTTGAGGCTTGGACTATTTTTTCTGTTATTACAGGAAGTTTGCCTATTGGGTATGCATCCATTTTTGTAGTTTTGAAATTTCTTGAAAACACAGTGACTGTTTTGTTTAAGGAAATGCTTTTTGTTTATATTTATTGCTTTCACTAATATTCACATAGTTTTCTTCTTTTCATCCTGAAAAAGCAATTTTAGTTGATATTAATATAGTGGAATTTGAAAAAGTCAGCCATAGGTTTAAACTTTTGCTTGAGTGATTTTTATACATCTTTAATAACAATTTCTTTATTGAAGTATGTTATATAGGAAGGGAGCGCTTGAAAGAGCCTATGGAAATAGCTTATAGCTCTTAAAAGCTCTTTTCAGCTTATTTCAGTAATTTTTTCAATTTAGCTTATCCAAACAGGTACTTTTCAGCTTATTCCAATTAGTTTTATGGTCAAATTTTTAAGATAAGTCATCATATAAAAGAAGCTTATTGAATAAACACTTAATTAAGCTGTGTTCCTTAACACACCCAAAACCATTCATGTGCTTTCTTCACTCAATAGCTTAAATCTTTTGGATTGTTGGTTCATGGCAAAGTATTTCCAAATTTACAGTGTATCTGTTAGGGTGTATTTGTTAATATGACAGGGAAAATCTCTTGGGATCTCTATTTTCTGTTTATTGTTATATTGTCATGTACTTTTGCAGGTTACCGTTTTGGTGAAATACTTGATGGCCAATATGAAGTCACCGCTGCTCATGGGAGGGGTGTCTTTTCAACAGTGGTCCGAGCAAGGAATCTTAAAAATGGCAATGGTGAGCCTAAAGAAGTTGCTGTAAAAATTATTCGTAATAATGATACAATGTGAGTGGTGTTGGTTTGTGTGGTCTCACCTTAAAATTTCTGCTTTTAGCTTGTGTCCCTTATACTCACTGTTATATCTTTAACATGTTGTAGGTACAAGGCTGGTATGGATGAGTTAGTCATATTAAAGAAATTAGTAGGTGCTGATCCTGATGATAAGCGTCATTGTGTTCGTTTCCTTTCAAGTTTTAAACACAGGAATCACCTTTGTTTAGTCTTTGAATCTCTCCATATGAATCTACGTGAGGTTTTAAAGAAGTTTGGTCGCAACATTGGGCTTAGGCTAACTGCAGTGAGAGTGTATGCAAAACAACTTTTTATTGCACTAAAGCATCTCCGGAACTGTGGTGTTCTCCATTGTGATATAAAGCCTGATAATATGTTGGTATGGCTAAAATACTGTTATATATATATTATTTATTTTGAAATATTAATTTTCTTCCTTGGTTTGCTTGTATCAAGAATAGATATCCATTGTTTCCTTACATTTTTCATTTTTCAACCTCCCATTTGGATCAGGTGAATGATGCCAAAAATGTGTTGAAACTTTGTGACTTGGGTAATGCCATGTTTGCTGGTAAAAATGAAGTTACACCCTATCTTGTGAGTCGATTTTATCGTGCCCCTGAAATAAGTAAGTTTCTTTGTGGCACAGTAATTGCATATTGCTGAGTTCCAACCATTTTTTCCTCATTTTGAATATCATATGGGTTTTGCCTGTTGGGCTTTTGAACTTTTCTATGCAGTACTTGGCTTGCCCTATGATCATCCATTGGATATATGGTCTGTGGCCTGTTGTTTGTATGAACTCTATACAGGGAAAGTTCTTTTTCCAGGTTCTACAAACAATGATATGCTTCGACTTCACATGGAATTGAAGGGTCCTTTTCCAAAAAAGATGCTTCGTAAGGCAAGCATTTATTTTTTATTTAATTGTTTCTCGTTAGTGTTGTTTTGTCACTGTCTGAGCTTAGGGAATCGTTTTAATGTTTGATACATTAGGTTTGCTTTTATCTCTTCATTTGTTTTCCCTCTGTTTCTGCATCAATTACTAAAGTTATCGGCTTCTACAGTCTCTATATTGAATTGAATGTATGGTGTTGTTGATGATATTGTATTTGTTCTTATAATTGTGTTTGCAGGGAGCATTTATTGTACAGCATTTTGATCAGGACCTGAATTTTCTTGCTACAGAGGAGGATCCTGTGACAAAAAAGGTGAGCTTGGATTTGATATTGAATTTCCAATTTTATTTTGCTGTCCTTGTTAGATTGAACGAGTGAAATTTTAATAGTTAATTGCTGGTAATCTTTTACTTAGGCCATAAAGCGGATGATTGTAAACATAAAGCCAAAAGATATTGGAGCAATCATCGCTGGCTCTCTGGGAGAGGATCCAAAGATGTTAGCCAATTTTAAGGATCTTCTGGAAAAAGTTTTCATTTTGGATCCAGACAAGAGGTTGACAGTCTCACAGGCATTAAATCACCCCTTCATCACTGGCAAGTGAACAATGTTGCTGATTTTGACTCCCAAAATGATATACACTGATATCTGTACATAATGTTTTAATTCATATTGAGATTCTAATTATTTGGCATTATTTATCTTCTGTGACGGCCCAAGAGATCAGCACAGTTGTTGGCCTGTTGAAGTGAAAAAGGGTGATGTCTGGTGAGAGTGAACACTTGACTGGCAGTTCTTTCAGTGGAAAGTACTCTTTCTATTGTAAGATAACACGCCAAAGGTGGTTTCTTACTTCTTGTGTGGCCATTGTGAAATTTAATCTTTGTTAGTTTTACTTAGTACAGCTGTTTGTACTTTGAACATTGCTTTTGCAATCAAGTCCATGGAAATTTTATTATGAGAAATTTAATTTGATATTAATTTGTAACATTGGGGTTCTATGATTGATCTTTTGCAGAATATAGAGTGGTTTCTTCTTTCATCTCTTTTTTTCTTTTATATAATGGTTCCTCAAATTTTGTTTAACTATTGTCTATAACGCCATTTCTTTGCCAAACATGCTTGAGTTTTAGAGATTCTAATTTAGTTTTTCATTCAGGAGACCACCCACTGGTCTGAGGCTTTCCTCCCGTGAATAGATGCTTAAAAGGCACCCAGGAGAAGGTACCTTGGCTTGTTTGTTGGGAGATTAATTTAACTGCAATAGAGTGAAATGTGATTTCCTTTCCAAATTTTATTTCCAATAGGATCATTAGGTTTGATTTGGGGGAATAATTTAAGTTTGAATGGTCTTTTTTAAGTCCTGAGGAAATTCAATGATTGGAATTGCTCCTTAAGCACATGCAAGCATGCAATTTTGTGCTTTAAGCTAGGTAGCTCGGTTAGGGGAATGCAGGTGGTTTTGACTTCTCATGCCTTTACTGTGTTTTTTACTTTGGGCCTGGGGGTGGTTTCTGCTTTGCGGGTGTTGCTTGCTGTTCACGTCTTGAACCAGGCTGTATATAAATATTTTGTTTGTTAAAATCATGTTTTAGCTTCTCTTCCATCAAACACTTTGAGTTCTTTTTACATTTATGTTCTTAATATTTCCTTTATTGGGTATCCTAATGAAATTGCATTGCATTATATTCGTGGATGGTCATTCTAGAGGCATTACCAATGGAGTTGTTTGGGTGTATTCATGGAGCTAATTCTAATCTCAGTGAGTAATTTAATTCTGAAACTTTTTTGTTAAGCTTATGGTATGGTTTAAAAGTTAGATGCCTAATTTTATTTAACTGAAGCATCCAGATTTTTTTTACTCTTTGCTTTTTAGGTACCATACTTTGGACTTGCAATTTCTGTAAGTATGTTCAAGACCAATTCCTTTCTCATCCTTGTCGCATTGATGGTCTATGTCATCCAGTTTCTGATGATGATCACTCCTTGGTCTCATTTATTATTGATACTTTTCTTTTTTAATGTCTTACAAAGTTACCCAAAATATGATGATTTGCTAGTTCCTAATTATTTCATTTTAGTTTCCAGCAGTATTTTTTATGGTGAGAACAAAAGTTTGACTACAGTCATTCAAGGCAATGTTTCTCTATCTTCTGCTGCTGCAGAACTGAAGTCATTCAAGGCAGCTATAATACACATGGTGGCTTTGCTGGTATCGACTAACTGGCTGCTGTATGCAAGATTGTATCTGGCAACTTTGATGGTAGTGGGGGGATATTAAGCTTCTGTATAATCCCGAATCCCGTTCTCCATGGCTGCTGTATTATGATTTTGATCCTGCTGCTCTGGCAGCATTGACTAGTTGACCAGAGTTTTTGAAACCTGTAGTTGGTCCATCTCTTGTTCCAAAACGATAATGGCCATGGGTGAGTAGTCCGTACCACCAAACCTTGCAGTATCCCATGTGCACTTTGTTCCAATTGTTGTAGTGAAAAAATTCCCACCCAACGGTTTTAGTGGCAGCAGCAATAGACTGACCCACTTTCTCAAGATCCAAATTTTTTTGGGCATCAAAAGGTCCTTCCACCCATCCTTGATCACTGTGCATGGATCTTTCTCCATCTCAACCGTTTTATTGACACCTAGACACAACCTTGATTGTGGAGACTTTTTGTCTCATGGTAATAATATCCTTCTGCAGTTCTTCTGGTGCCATCTTGGTCAAATTTGGGTTCTGAAATTACTGGTTAATTTCTGCAACTTCACCTTGGACATCTACCTTGATCTCCCCCATCATCCTCTCAACCTCAACGACTTTCTCTGAATCTTGGTCATCAACAACCATCTCTCCATTTCTTGTGCATTTGACAACAATGTCTACCTCCATGAAAGATTTTGCATTCAGTGATTTCAACAGTAGCAATGGGTTGACTGGCTCTTCAAGAAAATGAGCCCCCTTCTGTCTTAAAGGATTCCAATGATCTCCTTGTCTTGATCTTGTCCAACCCTTCATTGTACTGTTCTGTTTTTGGTTCTTCATCTGACACAGAGAGATTGTGTTCTCCTTTTGTTTCCACCAGTGTGCAGCCACCAAAGGCAGCTAATCTTTCTTTTCCAAGAATGAACCTGTATATTATAATTTATCACATTTTGACCCATTGTCTGCTCTCCTTGACATGTTTGATTGAATGAGGATCAACCTCCTCTTGAATGGGTTGCTCATTTGTGATGTCCTTCAATATGATGCCCTGTTTCTGCATCCACTATTTCAGGAATTGCTTGAGCTCGTGTTTCCTCAACCTTCTTGATCGCTGAGGACTTCACCTCCTCAATTTCCTCATCTCTCCCCATTTTCTCCTCAAGAATGATTTCTTGACTCTAGTAGTTTGTGCAGTCCATACTTCAACTGTGAAGCAATGGCCTTGAAATAATGATCTTACAACTCCTAAGCATTGTCTGTCTCATTCACAAACAGCTTCTTCAATGTCCCTTTTGGTTTGGTTTCTTCTTGTTTCTTGACCAACTGTGTCAACATTTTCTTATTCAAGAATGCCATCGAATCTCCATTTTTTCTTCTTGGTGAGAGATCCAGCAGTTTCCTCTCCCAGAATTAGAAATGGAAAGAAAAGAAGTACTATGTTGAATTGAATGAAAAAACAGAAAATAGGAGATCTCTCCTCCGCCTTCACAAAGGATTTCTTCTTTCACAAAGAGCAAAAGCTCTATTTTCACACATGATAACAAATCTGAATGCCTTTCCCTTACATCTCCATCCTATTTATTTAGCTCACAGACTCCTAACTAACTAATCCCTTCCACTAACTTACCACAATAACTACCTTAACTAACTTTCCCTTTCCTCTTTCCAAACTGCTGGTAGCATGTGAATTTCTTCAATTTATTTCAAGGATTGAATAGTCTAGAAACTACAATCTAATTATACTTTTCATTTTTTTTTAAGAGACATTACACTTAGAAATCTATAAACTACCTTATTTATTTGATGCATATACGTATCAGTACCCCAACTTTGTCTTTCTTTTTATATTTAGAGAATACAGAGAGAAATTAGCCTTAAATATTTAAATTAATACCTGTTAACAATTTATTCATTTTTTTGGAATTTTAAATTTTCGAACAACTATCTACCAAAGACAAATTAAATTAAGCATAAACCTATATAAGATTGTGAAATGCTTAATTTGTCTTGGATTGTAGTTTAGGGATTGGGGACTTCCATTTTATCATTTCCTTGTTTCAGCAAAGCCTTTGAATCTTATCAACCTGATACTATGGGAAAGACTAACTTCATCCTTGAGTTGCTGAAAACTTTAGTTGTGACCGTGACATCCTCAAAAAAGTGTATTAAGCCCTCTGAATAATGCTATGTTATTTACACCCGATACGGGAATGTGTGTGTATCTAATGTATCATAACATCAAAGGTTTAAAGTAAGAAACATGGAAAATAAATGCAATAAAGGTTTGACATTAAATAAAGAGGTTCCATCAGCGAGTTACCTACGATGGAATCACAGACAACATCTGCAAGGAAAGTAAGGGAAGACAGCCAACACAGTCTGTAAAGCATCTGATTGCAGTCTATTCAACCAATATATTTGACATGTAGGAGGCAGTGTGTCTGAATGATGTGAGGCGAAAATTACAGGGAATCATATCTCTTCTCATATATTTCTCATGATACGTAGTTCTGGTTACAGGAGTTTTTGGTGTTCCTATATAGATCTACTCGAGTGTTTCTGTATCCTGTTTGCAGTTGGTTTGCTGATATATAACTAGAATGTTTTTACTGTGTGGATTTATACAAGTTTTGTTGGAATTGGGAGGTATGATAAATACTTATAAGTGGTTAGCAGCTTAGCGTGCTGAGTGGATTAGCGATATAAATTGAAAAATGAAAAATACTTTTGAAAAATTGTATAGATAGCGTGAAAGAAATTCATATAAATTGTGATTCTTAAATAGCTTATTATTTAAATATTTTGTTCTGTCATCTGCTTTGAACAATTTTTTTGTTTGCCAAGCATAAATAGTTACTTCAGTAGTCACATGCCACATTACCGTTTGGAACTCATGGGTGCCAAATATGTTAGGGTACGACTATGGAAGCAGACACTTAGAAATAGTGGCAGTGTTATGTTAAACTTGTGCAGGACATATTTATTTCAGACACTTCAAATACTATTAGCTGTGTTTTAATTTTTTTTTATACTTATATTTTTTAAACCTGTATACCAATGTTGATGGAAATATAACAATAATTCGATAAATTGTAGTATTTTATTATGTCTACAATTACCTGTGCTGTTGTTTTTAAACATTAGTTCTCTGTTTTGAATTAAGATTAGTGTTTTATGTTAATAATATATACATTGCTTTATAGTTGTGTAAACGATTTTTACTTGGGCAAGATTATTTTTTGTAAAAGATATTTGTGATTTAAATTAAAAAATATATAAAAAAGATATTAATGATAAAATATTAAAATTGAAAATGAAAATTGATTTTTTTTTAAATAAGATTAAAAAAACTTACAAATTATAATTGTTTGTTAATTATAAAAAAGAGAGAATCTAAAAATGTAAGCCAATAAAGGATAAATTCAATTAGAATAAATGAGAATGTGTTTAATATAGGGATTAGAGTGGATTCAAATTTGGTTGATATATGTAAATGAAATATTTAAGATAAGTAAGGAAATTATATTATAACGAGTATAGATTTAGGTGTAGGTATTTATTAACACAAATTTGTGGGAATAAGAGTGAGTATGTATTTTACTACCTAACTCATCACAGCTGCATGTTATTTAATTTACTAATATACATGTCAATAAATATGTAATTAGTTGTGCTATTTTAAATAATATTATGCAAAATATTTAAAGGAGCGTGTGCAATTCAATGGATATTTGGATGTCAATGAATATTTGGACGTGTTTAATTTTAACATAAATCATTAAGTATAAGGTTATTTAACGAGACATATATTCAAATATTATATCAATCAAAATCAAATCTTATATGTATACGGTATTAATTTGTTCACACTTAATGTATAAAAGCCTAAAGAGGTATGAGGAAAATAATTAGGAGTGTAGTTTGCCTGAAAAGGCATTTGTAAGAATACTTAAGTTTATGAAGAGATTTGTATAATAATATTTGGGTAACTAAATACATAGTTTGTATATTCAAAAGTTAAATAGCATTAAACGTCCATAACTCTAGATTTAGTTCTATTATTGTTGGGTGAACAAATATAAATTGTTGTGTGCTTTCATCTCTTTTCACTCCAAACAAACTTTTAATTCAAGTTAAAGTTGTTCATTACTGTTTTTTTTTTTTGTTAAACTAAGGTTTTTTTTTTTCTTATCACTTATTTATAAAAAGTTGTTTAAACGGATTCAAAGTTGTTCATTGCTAGATTGTATTTTTACAAAGTTACTAATAGCGGAGTGAAGAGTTTCACACTTCACCCTCACCTCACATTCAAAGAAGGTGGTGCTGCAAGGATACGAAAATCACAGGGAAATGGGTCCATTTTATTCATTGAATGTTGTGACATTTAGGATAATAAATATATTGAATTTTGTGATATTTTATTATTTTTAATAAAATATATAAATAATTTCTTATTATATGTACTTGATATACATTAAAAAAACGATAATTAAATATGTTATTTTACTTGTATTGCATAAATTTTTATGTTTGCATAGGCAAGATTTGAAACACATGTTGTCGTGCAATTGAAGCTCCGTGTTTTCTTAAACTGCTCAATTATGCACTGGCATTTTCCATCTGGCTGGGCTTTGGACATTCATTTCTTGCACAATAATAATATAATAGCTACATATTAGGTAGCGTTTCAATAAAGAACCTTTGGGTTTGATAGGCTATGCTTAATTTTTCTTTATCAGCAAAAACTACTTGTTGCTGGTCAGTTGTGTGTCAAAGTCAAGGTCAGGTTTCTTAGAAAAAGGATTTAGATAATTATTGGTAATTATAAATTCTATTTAATTTACAAAGTTATAATATTAAAAATGCATGCCTATTTATTATCAAATTCTACGTACGTACTAAAATTTAAAAAATAATTATTTTAGATCATACATGTTTAATTTTTTTTAAAAAAGAAAGTTAATGATAAACTATGTCTACATGTAGGCAAAGAAAAATAAAACGAAAAAGTGTATCTGGACTCATTTTACTAGATGATGGAGTAGGATCAGGATCTTCAAGAACTCAATGACAAACTACACGCTTGGGGATAGATTTTTCAATAAATTAAATTTTCTTTCACACATGAGACATGCAGAATAGTTTTCAATCTCATCTTTCATTTATTTCGAATTATATTATTATAATTATCTTTGCTATATTTTCTTCCAACAATTTTTAATATCTTTCTACTATTTTATAAAGCATATATTCAATAAAAAATATTTTTATTTATCATCTTAAAAATAAAAAATAATATTTTCCACTTAATAATTAAAAAACATATAAACTTAAAAAGTAAAAAAGTTTATAATTATTATTTTATAATTTTTGACAGAGTTATATGTACCTGGAAACTGGAACTACTGCGAATGAAGGAGGTTTCTTGTGAGAGAATAGAATATTGACAGTGAAAGTGAAGCCTCTCTTGGAAGACCACTTCGTACGTACCGACGAAACCAATTCAAAGGTCCCTGTCGTGTTGTGTACTTCAGTTTGAACAAAAGTGGCATCTGTTTATTTGCATCCCAATCTTTTTAATGTTTTTTATATGACATATTTTTAAATATTAATTTTAAAATTATATAAAAGATAAGATGTTATTGTTAATATTTTTCACTCGTGATATGTCTAAGATAAATTACATGAATCAATTCAGATATTAGATAAACAAATAAAAAAATAAGTTAATAAATTATTAATAGTGAGATTAAATTAAAATAAAAATTAATTTTGGAGAAATTAAATTAAAAAAAATACTAAAAAATGTGATTTTCTTACTACGTTTAAATTAGTTTTAAACATTTATTAACAATTTTAATATTATTTGAAAATAAGATAAAGATTTTGGGCGCAGTTTTAAAGCAAATAATCAGGTTATTTAAAATTTGATTCTATCCATTAAAATCTGAAAATAACAATAGACATTTAAAATTAGCAGTCAATAAGATTATGATTAAGATTGTTGTTCATTTATATTTAAATTAGCTGAATTGTTGCACGTTTCATCTCTTGATTACATACAGTAACTATTAAATTTATAAGAAAAATTAACATAATTTATCATTGAAAGCGTGTGTGTATTAAGCTACATGAGATATAAGAAAATCTAAATCATAAAATTAAATTATATAATTAAGATTATAACTCAGTTCACCTTTCATAATCTTACTGGATATTCTCTCTCTATTATATTTATATATTGGCATTAATATTTTTATTGATTACATTTTTACTTTTATAAAATTTAAATATTTACCATAAATATTAAATACTAAAATGAATAAATAGTTGAGAAAAGAAAAGGACGTGATGCGGACAGTGGGATTTCCGTCTCATGCATCCAACCAAATAGTCATAACAAAACAATGATATGATTACTTGTCAATTTGTGGAATCGCTTTCCATTTCGCTCAACCTTTCCTTCCTCTATACATAATCACAATTTGCATACACCTTTCTGAGAAGGTGGCAACAGAGAAGCTGCTCCTGATTTTCCTTGAAACTTTCACACACCAACCGCGTTGAAGACTTGGTTCCTCTTCATCCCCCACTCCACTAGACTCTTCTCTCCTAAGAAAACTCCTCAAAAATAACACCCAAAAAGAGAAAACATTAAATCTTAAAACCCTTTTGCTAAGTACATATTTGTCAATTGCCAGCTGGTCCTCATTCTCAAGCTATCATATAAAAGCTCCATTTTGTTTCTCTCACATAGTACAGTTACAGCTTACAAGCCTGGGCAACTTCTTTGTTCCAAAGTTGATATTCTCATTGTCATAAACTTCACTTGGGTGTGTTAATTGTTTTGATCTTAGGATTAAGAACTAAGGTACGTGCATATATGGGTAAGAAGCTAGACGCTCTACTCGGAAGAACCTTCAAGGCTGCCAAGTTCAAGGCAATTGTTCACCTTGCCATCTCACGCCTCGCTGTTCTCAAGAACCAGCGCCATGCTCGCCTTAGACATGCTCGTTCTGATGTTCTTGAACTCCTTCAACTTGGTCACCATGAACGTGCTTTACTTCGAGTAAGATATATATATATATATATTGAGTAAAGCACATGTGTATATTTATATATATACACACATGTGCTTTACTCAAGTCCGTGACGATGCAATTTTGTGTTTACTACTAATTTTATATCACGTATCTAACTTCTTTTATGTTTGGAAAACTGGGTTGCTTTTGATAGGTTGAGCATGTGATCAAGGATCAAAATATGTTGGACGTGTATGATATGATTGAAGGATACTGCAACCTCTTGATCGAAAGGGTCCACCTCATTGAACAAGAAAGGTTGGTCTGCTTGTAATTTTGTTCAGTGAAAGAATATGTTTTCATTTTTCTGTTTGAAATGATGAATATGATTTTGTTGTTGTCATTGTTAATAGAGAATGTCCAGAGGAACTAAAGGAGGCAGCATCAGGATTACTCTATGCAGCTTCTAGATGTGGAGATTTTCCAGAGATTCAAGAGATTCGGGCAGTTTTGACTTCTCGGTTCGGCAAGGAGTTTGCTGCTCGTGCTATTGAGTTAAGGAACAACTGTGGAGTACACCCTCAGGTATTTATCTGATATGAGAATCAGCAATCTTTGTCATGTAACATTGCTGCCTTTCCACTATTTTGTTTTGCTTCCTCAAGAGACTTGTATGTGCTGAAAGCAGATAACTTCCAGTGATACTTATCATACTCTAATATATCCTTTTTAACTGGCTATTTACAGATGATACAAAAGCTTTCAACAAGGATGCCAACGTTGGAGAGTAGAATGAAGGCACTCAAAGAAATTGCTTCTGAGAATGGTATAGTTCTGCAGCTTGAAGAGGCTTCATCTGTTTCAGTTGAGGTATAAAACTTTGGCAAAAAAAACTTGCAATTTATTCTTTTTAACATTTGAAAATCAACTACTTATGCTCCTGGTGTGAACTATTCAGGAACAATCCAATGTAGAAAAGAAAAACCTGCATGAACCTGAGATAAAGGAAGAGAATATCAGCATTTTGCCTAGTAGAGGGAAAGATGAGGAGTTAACTGATTCTTTCAAGGCCAGGCAAAAGTACAAGGACGTAGCAGATGCGGCACAAGCAGCATTTGAGTCAGCTGCATATGCAGCAGCTGCTGCAAGAGCAGCTGTGGAACTCTCCCGATCTGAACCACATGACCCTGATGATCATAATAGTCCAAGCTTCCAACCAAGAAAAGTGGGGGATAGACATGATTCTATGAAACCTCAACTGGAAGGAAAGAAAATCCTCAATGCAAATCCAGGAGCAGAATTTAACAATGATATAAACGAGTTAAAAAGAGCAAATGACATTATAAGTTGCAATTCAAATAATGAGGTTTTGAAGGGAGCCACTGCCTCGGGGGATGCTGAAGCTGAGGCTGATCCTTTGGAAAAGGAAGTAATTTTTGATGAGAGTGATGATGAGACCGATAATAAACAGAATAGATATCAATCTTCCAAGCATATATCCTCAAGGTATGGTGCTAGTATAGAGGTTGGATCAGGTTCTAAGAAACTAGTATTAAATAAGGTGCCAGGTTCCACGATGCAGAGCGCACCTCAGTTGGATTTGCAGAAGAGGCCAATCTCAGTGAGGTCTAGATGAATGAAAATTTACTGAATATGAATGAGTGCATCTAGCGTGCAATGTTGCATATCAAATTGCAACAAAGCTAAGTAATATCAGATTGCATTTCGGAATGTGTTTAGTGTTAAATACAATTTTGCTAGTAACTTACCTAAGTATGTGATTGCTTGGTTCATTAATTTTTGTATTATGGATTTTGCATCCTAAATGCAATATGGATTTCCAGTATTCAAAAGATTAATTTAATTAGTTGGATGTAAAAACAAGGAGAATCGTGAACTCCAACCCATATTTATTGCTTCTTGACGTGAAAATATGCATCCACTGGGACATGGCATAGAGGGAACAGGTTAATAATTGATCATACACAAATATATGACTCCAAAAGATACCAGAAAAATCTGTCATATTAAACCAGTTGTTAACCATCTAATGATATTTACTGTCTTAGAATTGTCAATTTAAACCAGAATATTTGCATACCAGGAAAAGCTTTAGTAAAATTCTTTAGGGAAACAAGAGGGGTCCAACTATGGAAAATGAAATAAAACTGCTTACTGCATAGTTTTGTTTCCTAGCATGTTTGATGTTGATAATCGTTCTTCAGTAGACGGAAGTTCAAAAATTAAAATAACATTTCATATCTTTGAAACATGAAACTGTGTCTTTCACCCCATAGCCGGTCCCAAGGTAAAGAAGACTTACATTATGCCTTCAACAATTAACGGAAAACTTGTCAAATCATTTTGTATGGCCACTCATGACAATATTGTGCTATAGTTTTTTACCGAACTCAATGACTTCATATGAACTGACCTCATCTAATAGGATAAAGTTTGGTTATGATTGTTGTATGTCTTTAAAACATGGTCACTAGGATAGTATGCACATGAAGAGACCAATGCCTAGGCCCAGAAAGATATAAACAATAATATTGCATTGAGACAATGCTCCAGTGACGAGTTAGGCTTCTGAATGGTAAAAACTTATTAGAGGCCACATGAAATTTGCAATAGTGAGATCAGAACACCAAACAATGTATACTCCTACTTTGTTGATTCCCATAAATACATCACTGCCCCCTAGGCCGCTTCTTGCCATGTTGAAGCAAGTCACTGGATGACTGCAAATTCACCCCAACATCTTCATCATATTCTATTCCAAGCTCCTCCTGCAAAGTGCAACATGTATCAATGACAACAGAAACATTAAAATAAATAAAATCTATGTTTGTAACAGGAAAATAACGGTTTTTCTAAATGCCACACAGCAAGAAATCAATAAATTCTAAGTTTATATTAAAAATTGTAGAATTTAATATTATCAATGCATTAGATTCTGCGTTATCTTGTGATTTTTAATAAAAACTTATTATACATAAATTCTCATTGTGAGCCTAAAACACATGCTAGAAAAATCGAAGAAAACCTTAAATTCTTTTGGATCCTTAGGTGAATTCTCAGTGAGGGTATCCCATACATCCTTGAACATTCTTTTACGCTTTCTCCACTGACTTATTTTCTCATACAACATATCCTCAACTGCCTTGCGTTCTTCTGGCCTCACCAGAGTAACACCTCCACGTAACTTGGACAATTTCTCCTCCATTTCTTTAACCTGAAGCAGCAGCAGAAAACAAACATGCATACTATCTTGGTTGATGAAACAGCACAATCACCAGTTCCCTTTCAACAAAGATACACACACACACACACACACACACACACACACACACACACATCCACGTCAGTTACCTCCATTCTCAAATTCACTTCTCTTTCATAGATCTGTTCCAGCGTCAAATTTGATTGCAACGACTTAATTTCTGCACCAACAAAAGTTATATCCACATATTGCAGCATCAAGAGGTATGCCTAAAATCTCAAATTCTCAATGGTTCCAAATGCACGAAAACTAGAATATAGAGCAAAAGAATTATACGATCCCGTAGGAGTACTCTAGGGAGGACTTTGTCCATTTGAGAAACAATTCCCATTTTTATTTTCTATTTTACAAATAATTACAAAATATCACATTATCGTTTGTTGTTTTAAAAATTTGATATGACAAACATTAACATAATAAAACAAGAATATTGTGACAATTTTTTCAATTATTCCTAGAAACAAAAAAATAAAAATAAAAAACAAGAAATGTTTATATATATATATAAAGAGAAAAGGTCCTTACTAAAATACATTTGAAAATACAGCTTAATTAAATACTTATTCAACAAATTCTCTTTACGAGTGCTTATCTCATGTATCTGACCGTAAAATTTATTAAAATGAACTTAAAAAATCTTATGAAATTTATAAGCTATTTCTTCTAGACAGGTCTTCTTCAATGCCAAATATCAATATGACTTCAGTTTTCATTGTATTTGTACCAGCTTCAACGTGACTAATTGCTTTTTTCTGATCTTCTAGTTGTTTCTGCAGGTTAGAATTCTGCTCCTTCATCTGATTAAGCTCTTCATTATTTGGAATTTCGAATTGATCTTGCCGCGAAAGGTATATCTTCTGTTTGCCATACTCCTTGAACGAAATACGACCTCCATCAGCGAGATTGTCCAATGCTTTCTGAATCGCTGCCTTCTTCAGATTGAACTTTTGCAACGCATCCGCAACGTTTTGCGTATTCAGTGGCCGGTTTTGCTGATAAAATTAAAAAAACAAAATCATCTGATTTTTTAATTCAACGGAAAATTGTTGTATTATTTAATTGAAGTTAGCGTCAAAGATTTCATATTCTAAGAAGATGTGACATGAGTTGTGAAAGTGGTTACTACCTCATTGACGAAGTTGAGAACGATTGCTGCCAGTGAAACAGAGAGAAAGGGAACAATGAGATGTCAAGTTCACGAAGGGAAACTGCAAAATTAAAAAGGGAGGGTGATGTTGATGAATCATGATACCTTCTGCGCTATCGGATTTTGGAGCCATTGTTTGGATCGCAGGAAAATAGGCGGGAAAATTCAGAATCTACCTTTTCTCCTACCGCCAACGCGTGCGAGATTGCCTCACAAGGAAATTGTCCCTCTGCGACATCGTTTTGTGTAATCAACGAAGAATGCTTCTCACGGAAGCGACAAAAATAAATAAAAAATAATAAAACTATAAGATATATATTTAAACACTTTGAAGGACTTCCAAAATTTCAAGAAGTAAATTATTTTTAATTTATAAAAATAAATTATTAATTTTTTAGCAACATCTAGTATGAGTTAGCAAATAAATTGTAAAGAAATTTTTTCTGTTAGATATAAGCATAAAATAATTAACAACTAAGATTTATTACTGTTATCTAGTAATACCCATTTCTATAAAAATCATTAATAGGTCTTTGACTTGAGCTTTGAGAAATTGAAAATTGTAAATATATAATGTGTTGAAAGTAAAAAAGATTGTTCATGTAGAATTTTAAATGAGAGAGAAATTATGACTATTTCACTAGTTAAGAATTTTTAGAGTTTAACTTTAAGGAAACAACAATATATGAAACAAAGTGACACTACAATGGTCAATTTCATTGAATGAAGATAAATCATAGAAATGGAAATGGAATTAGAGTTAAGGAAAAAAATATATAGTAAAAAATATTGTTAAGTTTGAAAAGTGGAAGTGAAAAGTGTCAAGAGAAGCTGCAAAAATAGAATTTATTTCATTATTAAAGACTACATTTGCTTTTTGTACTCGTATAGGAGGCTTAAAGATTAAAATAATGTAATTTTAAAAACTAATTACCAAAATAATGTACAAACTAAATTAATTTATTGTATGGAGTATTTTTTGGCCACGTCAGTTATAATTTTGTATAAAAGTCGAACAAAATTATTATTATTTTTTATTTGATCATTTTGTATTAAAGAAGGACGAAACACGTGAGGGTAAAATATTTGAAATAAAGTTTTTTGCCTGACGACACGTAACCCAATCAACGTGTTTCGTCTTTGAACAGGACGAAATCATCTTTTCGTCTGACACATAGACGAAACATGCTGATTGGGCCACGTGTCATTAGAACAACGGTAACCCACGCTCCTTCTTCCTTTCTCCTCTTCAGCTGGTCACTGCAAATTGCCATTGTTGCCAATCTAGACTTTCGTAGGGGTATTTTTTTTATTATTTTAGAGTGAGTTTTGAGTGAGATTTGTAATCCATTGCAGAAGACTGTCTAGATCGATTGGATTTGGAGTGAGTTGTGGTGTTATTGGTCTGAAACTTTAAGAAATTTGGGAGAACAGGCTGAACGAAGAAGAGGAGCTCATCGCCGGAGAGATGTTACTATCCAGTGAAATTGTTGCTGTCGTTAAGAACCCACCGCGCTGGAAAACGTGCCCTTCGCCCCAGCCCCCGTCCCTCGTCCCTCGTCCCCGCCTCTCCCTATCCAAGTTTTTCAATTTCTTTAAAAAAAATTTAATTTTATATTTATTAATAATAGTAAAAGGTAGATTAAAATATTTTTTTATAGTAATATTAGATTAAAAATAAAATTAAAATAATTTTAGTAAATTTGTAGATATCTCAAAATAATCAGAATTTGTATAATTAAAATTTAATAGTAATATTACGAAAAAAAAATTAGAGTTTACATTTAGAATAATTATAAATTGAAGTAAAAAATTTATAAAATTGTAAAAAATAATTAAATAAAATAATAAATAGTTAAATAAAATTCAAAATAGAAAAATATAAAATAGTTGTATGGTTGATTAATTATATAAGAAATGATAAATAGAAAAAAGTGTTAAAAAATTATAACATAAATTATGTTTATTATATTAAATAACATTTAAGAATATAAATAAAAAGATTGATTAATGATTAATGAATAGATAATTACAAAAAAAAAAAGGTAAGAATTAAGAGCATTAAAATTAAGCATACACATTTATATTAAAATTATAGTAGCAAAAATTTGAGTTTATTAAATAATTAAAAAAATAAAATATATTTAATTATGGTTAATTATGGTTTATGGTTTAAATTATTGGAGTGATATTAAATAATTTAGAATAAATAATTATAATTATACAAGTTTATTTATGATGAAATAATAAGTGTATATATTGAATTTAAATTTTAGAGTGATACTAATAAGATAAGATTAAGTTATTTTAATTAAATAATTTAATCTTGGTAAAAAAAAAGAAATTTAGTAATGTAATTTAAGTTATTGGAGTGATATTAAATAGTTTAGAATAAACAATTATAATAATAATTATGTAATATTATTTATGATTAAATTATAAATTTATTTATTGAATTTTTAATTTAGATTGATATTAATAAGATGAGATTAAGTAATTTTAATTAAATTATTTAATCTTGAATGAAATTAGAACTTTAGTTAGGTAATTTAAGTTATTAGAGTCATATTAAATAGTTTAGAATAAATAATTATAATTATAATTATGTAATATTATTTATGATAAATTATAAATTTATTTATTAAATTTTTATTTTAGAGTGTTATTAAATTTCCTGAAGATTAAGTTATTTTAATTAAATAATTTAATCTTTAATGAAATAATAAGATTAGTTATGCAATATAAATTTTTGGAGTGATACAAATTAGTTGAAATCAATTATTAATCATATAAATAATCAATGATAACTAATAAAAATAAATAAATATGAAATCATATGACCTTGACATTTCTGAGTCGATTGTCTTGTATACATGACTTATGCTAATGTTACATTTCTGTTGTTCCAAAGTTTGTTGCTGTACGCTGTTGTGATATGACATATAGTACTTTTTTTAAATGCATATACTATTTGATTTACATTATATGTTCTTAAATGCAGAATTTTAATCAATAAAATAACATACGTAATGAACTAAGTTCCAAATAAATCAAGACAATCTCATATGAAAATAAACCTAATACATCGTTCGACGTGAATACATAAAGCGTTCACTATACTACTTGTTTGACAAAATCAAAGTACATTGACGTTTATTATGACTAATTTGATGACATTTACTACATCTTGGTCTACTTTGTGACTCAACTCAATCCATTTCGTTTTTAATTCGAGTTAATTTTGGTCTTCCTTTACTTTTTATTCTCGTCTCATCAAGAACTAACTTTCATTCATTGTGTAAGCACATTACTATCATTTTTCAAGGGAAACCACTATGATGAATATGCGTTGATGACATTTTGTATCGAGTAAACATCATCAATATATTGCCAAAAGTCAATACTTACTGATGCACAAGCAGCAATAACATGTGAGCATGGCTTGAAATCTCCCACATTCACAATATTTTCTACACAGAACAGCAATCCATTTGTTACCACCCCTTTGCGTGATAAGATTGAATGCCTCTTCAACTTTAAATCTTGTTCTTTCTATATCATAACGTCTCACTTGATGTGATGATACTTCTTCTTGATTTTTCTGCATTTTTTGCAGCAGTTTTGAACAGTACCTCTTACCAGCATTTAGATTATTCAAAGCATCCTCTCCACGCTTTACAAAATATTCAACCAAGCGTCCGTAAGTGCATTTGACCAGAGCAGTTATAGGTAAGTTTCTTGCTCCCTTCAAAACCTTGTTAACAGCCTCTAACAAATTCTTAGTGATGTGCCCATTATGACGTCCATCATCGTCATGACTCAAAGTCTATTTTTCCTTCGAAATGTTGTCAATCCACCTCTATATTTCTGGTGATTCATTTCGAAATCTTTTCAACTTCTTTTCGAATACAATCTTGGTAGGTAAATATGCTGTAAATAACAATTAAACCACCATTGATAAACAATTAAAATGAATATAAGTGAAGAGGACAACTTCCAAATAAATAGAGTCAGGTTACCTAATTTTGTCAGCTGCTTCTTCAATTCAATGTTCTTGAATCTATGATTGAAATTGCTTGTTATACGAATGTAATAAACATGATATGCATTAGGAGGTTGCCATTCAATATGTGGGTTTGAAACAACACTTTTGATGCTTTGATGCCTATCAGATGTTAAACATAATCTTGTCTTGGTTGTTACGTGCACACGAATCATTGCCAAAAATCATTCCTATGCTGACAAAGTCTCTTCTTCAACAATTGCAAAAGCAAGTGGTATGACACAATTATTCCCATCTTGTGTCGTTGTAATCAACAATGTGTGACGATACTTACTATACAAAAATGTTCCATCCACCTGAACAATAGGCTTGCAAAAGTTGAATGCTTCCTTGCATTGATGAAAACACCAAAATAATCGCTCAAATACTCTAAATCTGTTGTCCTCCTGATGTCCAACAACAAACGACTTAGTTTCAATCTTAAAAACAAACCCTGGAGCATGAAATTGCATGTACTCTAACCATCTTGGCAATGTACTATAATTCATCCCAGTCACCAAATATTCTTACGATTGCCTTTTATTTTGCCTTCCAAGCCTTCTTGTATGAAATTTTATATCCAAATTGACTCGTCATTCTTTCTTGAATTGAACTTATAGGCAATGATGGTTCAAGATTAACCATACTTACAAAACAACGAAACAAAATAGGTTAGTCCCTTTATTGTCAAAACGCTTCACAAATTTACATTTTGTGCAAAACTTACCAATGATGCATGAACAAATCAAATCTGAATCTAAGTTGATATGATCTTGAGAAATTGTTGGGTTGAGGCATGTATGCTTACCCCCACACCTTGTTATTTTTCACTTTGTTGCATTTTTAAGCAATGATGCTCTTATTCTCCAAGGACAACCATTGTTATAGTTTAAACACTTCACATACAACTTTGTTGGCTTTGACTCAACAACAAAATAACTCTGGTGTATTTTCATTGCATGCTGTTTTAAGGCATTTTTAACTTTTTCTTTGGAGTCAAATAATAAACCCACATGTAACAAATCTCCAATAACCCATGAATTCTCATCACTAATTCCTTCTGCTTCAATATCTTGGTCTGGATGATCCCAATTAATATAATTGTAGTGTGAATTTATATTCCAAAAAGATATTTCACCTACAACTATATATAAACGGATATTAGTCATCATTAAAAAAGATAATTAATTTAATCAATATACTCTATAAATATTACCTCCAATATTTTCTTGTTATAAATTTAAGTTTTAATCAAAATCACCATCTACATCTGTATCCGATGAGCTATTTACGGAATATGTCCTTAATCAATATCATCATCATCATCACTATTGATTTCATCTTCATCTTCATAACTGCATAATTCTGCACATCCTTCAAAATATATACACTTATTCAATATGTATAATCACTAAATATAAAAAAATTAAAATTATAATATAATTTATACCTTTTATAATATTTATATTCCCCATTTTCATGAGGTTAGGCGGCGAAATTGATAAGCTTAAGTCCAACCTATTTGACCAAACTCTTGAACTCTTACCAAATGCAATATCCACATATAATTCAATAACAGTTGTTGATACGCACTAATCATACAATTAATATTTTCATTATTACATATATCCAATACATTATATTGTTTAACACTTAAATCAACCATAAAACAAGAAATTATTCTGGATATGAAATGATTTTTACTAAGATTCAACTTATCATTAATCTTTTTTCTTTAAATTCATAAAACTTATTCCTCTTCTTATCTTTATCATTTTTTGCTACCTTCAAATGTTACACCTTCTTTTCCAACAACAATTTTTCCATTCCAATATACAATAATAATAATCTCACTCATCTTGCATTTATAAACAAAAAAATAAATAAATCAATAAACAATTATAACACTATACTTATTTATATAAATAATTCATTTAAATTATTATTAACATATAGAAACATACTACTACATTTCACATTATTTTATGTTACACCAAATATATAACATCATATTTATTTATTACAGATGTTAATATTAAGTATCTAATAACTTCTAAATTTTTTAAACAACATTTTAATAATTATATTTTTTTATTAATTTATACACAATAATATATTTACTCAATATTCATAAATTTTAACTACTTCTATTGATTTTAGTTATTAAAAAAAATAATTTCATTAATTTATCAATAACATAAAAACTCATAAAAGTATCTAAAATTTACTAACCTGAAAATTCTCCTTCTTTCAAAGTTTACGAACTCAGGAAACACTTCAATCTGATCTTCATCCGATCTCCATCCGCACTTTATATACTAAAATTTTGCTAGATATTTGAATGCAGTGGCACGCGGAGAACTTTAGGGTAAAACTGTGCTTTCGTCCAATTTGAAGATGAATTTAACAGGATGTTGACACATGTCAAAATCCTGTATTTTCATCCAATTTAAAGACGAAATTAACATGATCTTGACACGTGTCAACATCCTATGATTTCGTCCACATCTAAGACGAATTTAACAGGATTTAGACACGTGTTAACATCCTGTAGTTTCGTCCATATTTAAGATGAATTGTTTGAGATTCTGACACGTGTCTCTATCCTACGGTTTCGTCTCATCCTTATATGAAATTAATGTCACGTGTAATGCTTCAGCTTTTTCGTCCTTTTTAGACAAAATGATTAAATAAAAATAAAAAAATTAATTTTATCTAACTTTTTTACAAAATTGGGGTTGACGTGACTATTGAGAATTAATTTAATTTTTACATTATTTTGGTAATTAATTTTTAAAAATATATTATTTTAATCTTTAAACCCATGCCGAGGCAGAAGGTATTGAAAAAAATGAGATATCCATATATTTTAAATTGGAATTTTAATGATAACTTTCTTAACAAACTTTAAAAACTTGATTGTTGATTAGTTTTTTACATTATATCCATGCCTTTAAATCATTCATAAAATTATTTAATTATAATTTTTTTTATTTTTTTAATTTCACAAATCTTTAAACACATTCTCTCTCAATCAAATTCTTTTTAGTTTTTTATAATTTAAACAATCAATTTATAATCTAAAATTATTTATATTATATCATATTATAAAACAAAATATTTAAATGATAAAATTTTGATTTTATATATATATATATATATATATATATATTATAATTTATACTTATTAAATAATTTATCCGTTTTAACTTTGATAGTTTTCCCATTCTTTGGTCTGCAACTTCTGGTAACTCATCTGCCACGATTACATAGGATCACTCTGAAGTGAAGTGAACCATTCCCTGGATGCTGTGAAGCTATGGCGACGACCACATCGATGTCGTCCCAAACATTATTATCCTCATTCCTTTCACCCAAACCCTTGCCCCCAAAAGCTTCACTCCATATTCCCCAGTTGCAGAAGCGAAAACCGGTTCACACCGCGTTCAGCTCCACCCATTATTCCTTTTCCGTTGTGAAACGCAGCGTTTCGAGGACCCATTTGTGCTATGCGGCTCGGCGCAAACCCACGGCAACAGCTACCTCCTCTTCGGGGGAAGAGAGAGACGTCAATTTCAGAAGAGTGCTTCAAATTGGGTTGTGGGTTGCAGAATGTGTCTACGTTTTTTGGCTGTTCCTGCTTCCTTATGCCCCTGTATGTACCTTTATCACAAAGCACATCCACAACATTTGCAATTTCCTCTATGAATTTGGATTCTCTCATTTTAGTAACTAAATTCTGAGCAAGAAAGACACAAAAATAAAATTAATATATCTTTTGTAATATTGATAATTCTTACTATAACCGTTATTGTCTTTCTTGTGATATTATCATATTAGTTTGAGTTAAAGGAATGGAAACAGCAAGGTTTGAATCAATTTCGTGTATAAATGGAGATTAATATTTCGTTTATGCATCACGTCTTTCACAACAACATCAACATTACTATATTATTTCTTAGTATTTGTTTTCCGCTTCTAAACTCGTAGTTTAAACGATTGAATTGAAAGTTCCTGTAATGGCTTTGGTGTAAAAACTTACTCCTTTTGGCAATCTGGAAGGTTTTGAATTGTTGTATTGCATATGATTTCTTTCCTCTTCTTTCTTTGACAACGTTATATGAAATCAGTTTAATTTTGAAATCTGAAAGATTACTCGTATTGTGGCAGGGAGATCCTGTATGGGCCATCAGTTCTGACACTTTGAACTCTTTAGTGGGTCTTTCTCTCAATTTCTTTTTCATATTACCTTTCATGAACTTTGGTACGTTTTCCTATTGGTCATTATACTGAATAAAATACTGAATAAAAGAAAAATATTGATGGCATTGCTTGATACTAGAAGAAGTAAATTGTGATAATCATCCTTTTATGGTTTGGCTATTTTGATGTATATATATGTAGATTGGGCTATATATTTGTTTTATTAATTCGGGATTTTATTTTATAATTAGGATTTTCTATTTGGGACTAGTTTGCTATTTAGAGATGTCACTTATTTTGTTGGGCTTTTATGTTTTGGGCCTATGTTAGAAGTAAAGAATGGATGAAATGTTAAAAAATCACATTGAATGATAGACAAAGTACACCTTATATACAAGGTAGCTTTACAGCTGTACAAAACAGATTGCAACTAACTAACTGTCTAATTATAATTAGCATAAACTAAGCTAAATTTAAATATTTTACATCCAATAGCCTAGTTTGCTATGTCAATAAATAGACTTTTTTCGATTGCTTTGAATGATAATTGATCTCTATTGCTATTTTGTGTTAGTCGGGGAAGTATCCTGATGAAGGGAATACCTTTGGGTTACTGCATCAACAAATATTCAAAAGGAATCTGCTTAATATTAGAATTTTTGTGTTTATTCATTGCCTTAATTCCTGCTACCCAAAGATTTTGGATTCATTACTGCATTGAAATCAGCTATTTCATTCAAAGTCAAACAGAACTGATCTATGTTCTACATTTTTAGAAAAATAACAAAGAACATATACTGCTTCTGTGGTTTTTGAAGAAAATTATTAGGGTTATCTTTGCACTTCAATGATTCCTGTGCTGACCATTCTGGCAGAGTAGTTGGCATACGTCTGATTGATGCACCGGTTCTTCATCCTGTAAGTGGCATTGCACAAAGTAAATATCATTGGCACCAAATGCACCCTATTTGGTTTAACAATCTCCCTGATTTTGGACAATTTGCTTGCTTCAGATGTCTGAAGGACTATTCAACTTTGTGATTGGCTGGACGTTCATGTTTGGCCCTTTGCTGTTCACAGATTGTAAAAAAGATAGATACAAAGGGTCTCTAGATGTACTCTATGGCCTGCAACTTTTCCTGACAAATAGTATGTTTACCAAACCCTCTTGTTTGACATGTCTTTTGATTACCTTCATAGAAAAGCAATGTTCCAGTATATGAAATAGATGAATGCTTTAATCCCACCGTACTTTTACTTTATGGATTATGTAATTGCCTTACATATCATATCTCATTTTCATGATGCCAGCATTTTTAATCCCATACATGGCTATCCGATTGAATGATGCTGATGAAGAAAGTGTTCGAAGAAAACTTTCACAATTTAGCTCTCTGATGACAAATGGTGCTCCCTTTGTTGGAATGATTGGTGGGAGTGTATGTCTTATATCTCTATTGTGGGCACTTTTTGGTCGAATGGATGCAAATTTTGGGGGCATAGTAGAGAGATGGGAGTACTTGGTCAGTTATCTTGGATCAGAGAGGCTGGCTTATGCCTTCATATGGGATATATGTCTTTACCTGATTTTCCAGCCTTGGTTGATCGGTGACAACCTCCAAAATGTCCAGGAAAACAAGGTTGTTGTAGTGAAGTATCTTAGATATGTACCCGTGGTTGGTTTAATTGCTTATCTTTTATGCTTGGAACCCAAAGAGGTATGATTGCTGTGTTTCGATGATTAGTTTATTTTGCACTCTGAAAACTTTCAGTTTAAAATTACCCCTTGAACGTTTTGAGGAAAGCTTTTGAATTTAAAATGAACTAAATCCATACGCTTTCATGTATCAATTCGTAATTATGGATGCTTTGTCTTAAAGATCCGTTATAAGAAGATTGTTTCAGGATGTTTTCAAATGATGTTATATCTTTCTAAGAAATAAAAAACTTTTTAAAGATTCTTATAAACAATATGATCAGAAATGAGATTGCTTGTTTGGACAATTTGCACGGTACACTAAATTGTTTCTACCTTGTATGCAACACTATACATGCTATGCTATTACAAATATCTAAGATATTTCAAGATCCCCTTCAACAAGTTTATCACATTTATAGTTGCTTTGATGTCCTTTAAAGGCCTTAGTCCTTAAGAGTATCTTCGTTCGTTTCAAAAGTTATGGAACGGTTGCAAATTAAGTTGTATGTTAGAGGAAATGACATGGCAAATAAATGTAAAGAACGATTGCTTGTGGAAGCTACTGTTCCTTGAACTAAACAATGGGCCCATCAGTATCGGGAACATGCAAAACACAAGAAAAAGAGGCCAAAATGGAGAGAACGACCGAGAGAGAGAGAGAGAGGCAGAATTAGGCTTTTTATTAAGTGCAGGCTTGCGCGGTTACAATAAAAACTGTTAAACTTACATAAAATAAAATTCATGTAAAAATAATAATAAATAAATAATGCAATCTGCAACAACACTAGTTTAAAGAAGCTGTTAGTGAAAATGTAAACAATTTAATTGTTGAGTTTACAAATTTTGCGACCTTTCTTGATTGAATGTCCTCCCAAAGTTGCAACTAATCTTAACCCTTGTACAGTTCTATCAAAGAAATGTAGAACTTGATTATGTACGTAGATCAAGGTGATTGTCACATTACATGTGTAAGAGTGAAGATAATTAAATTTCTCATCCGAATTTTATGACTTAATTCAGGTCTATTAAGTCAACTCAACGCTACATAATTATCACGCATGAATGGAAGTGGAAATAACTTGGAATGTTAGAAAATTAAGCTAAGTATCAGACTTATTTTATAAAATTTAAAAACCTCGTGATATGTAAAATGAATAAATGTTTACTATTAATTTTATAGTAAATTGCTTGTGAGTTTTTAGTCATTGCACTTAAGGTTTCAATTTTATTTTTTGATTTTTGTACCTAGCATTGCTCCACCAAGTCTACAAGAAAGTTGAAACTAACAAACTTTTAAACATATTCTATGCATATAAATCTTAAACAACAGTTTTTTAAAGATTTTTTTTAAAATAAAAGTATTTTTAAGAATTAGTTATCTTTCTTATGGTACTAAGTATTTTTTTTTTCTGTATTCAGCATTTATTTGTAGTTTACTATTAAGTTAAATTTTGAAAATTTCAAAATTTATCATTTTATTTAATAGAAAAATATTTATGAATCTCTATATAATTTGTGAGTACAAAATATTTTAGAAACTTTTTCAAATGAGAATACTTTGTAAGTTGCTTTGGTTCTCATTCTCGTCGTATTAAGTAATTTTGCATTAATAAAATACAAAAATGAAAGGGTAGTGATGTATAATTGTTTTTGGTACTGAGAAGCAATTTTCTTGAAATAAATGCGGCGTGGCCGACTGGCCGTAGTGGCAAGAGCCAATGCATGGTGGCCATGCGTTCATTCTTACTAAGGGATAAAAAGAAAAATAAGAAAAGTAACAGATAATGTGATATGATAAAAATAATTTAAATATATTTTTATTCTTAAATGTACTGAACATGTAGTACAAGACAAGTCTTAGATCTTCTTTATCTTTTTTAAGACCATATGGTATGTCGGAATCTGAACCACAGTGGGATACGATTTCTTCGTTGGTGTCATCTCCCTTTTGAATTAAACTGATAATCTATGTCACATGTCCACATAGCTAGTCCTCGGAAAATAAATCAAAGTGGATGAGGAAAATAACAATGATGAGATTTGGTCCTTGGAAATGTTGGCGTGGGGCAAGAGGACTCATAACTGCTATTGAGTATACGATTTGTGGAAGCAAACATGATATCATAATTATTAATACTTGTCCTGTACGATGCACTGTTTATGACAACCAAAGCAATGTTATCAAATATTAGCCAAACTTGTAGAAATTCACAAATTATCATACTATACTTCTAAAATGCATCACATGCTTTTTGAAGATATTTGAATCATGTTTTGCTCTGTATCTACCCTAATTACTTCTTTTAACCTCATTTCTAATCAATGAATCAAAGAAAAATATGCATTTTTTTTCGAGTCTATTCTTATATCATCGTTTTTAAACAAAATATTTTTTTATTAACTATTCTCATTTTTATTAAAATACAAATTTTAATTTTTAAAAAAAATTATAGGCGAATGAATATACGAAAACTAAACCCACACCTAGACTAAGATATTAGATTACAAAAAATTAATTATAATTTCAAAAAGTAATTGACTTGGGTACGAAAAAAGCATGCGTATATCCCCAAATTTCTTCAACAAACAGTAAAAAAGTGTCCCCTCCACTCCTCAACTTCCTTTCGCTTTCTCTTCACACTTCCCCACTCACACTTAAACCCCACACACTCTCCGATCCAAAGCGCCGCATAAACGACGTTCGCCCCCACCAAAACGCAACAGCTCCCACCGTCGTTCGTTCTCCGTTATATCGCCTCGACAAAACGATGTCGTAAGAAGAAGGAGAAGGAAGAGTCTGATGATGGCAGCGAGAAACGGATCGTTGAGGCAAATCTTCGCAGAGAGGAGCAAAGAGAGGCTCCTATCAAGGAGGGACTTCCCTGACCTGAGGCTAAACGCCAACAACAACGGCGTTCCCAACGCGCTTTCGGAGCGCGTGAACAAGTTCCGCGACGGCGTGGGCGAGTTTTTCGGCGAGCTTCGAGAGATGGCACGCTCGGATCCGCGAAAAGTGGTGTTCGCAATAAAAGCGGGGCTTTCTTTAGCTCTGGTTTCGTTGTTCATTTACATTAAAGAAGAACAGTTGAAAAAGTACTCCATCTGGGCCATACTCACCGTCGTTGTCGTTTTCGAATTCAGCGTAGGTATTGAAGAAAGCACCCTATATTGGAATTTTTATGTTTTTTCTTGCTTCATGAAACAGCTTTTGATTAGAGTAAACATATTAAGTTCCTGGAAGAAGAATTCAACTCAATTACTTCTTAAACAAAATTATGCACGAGTTTTTCAAATTTATAATTATCAGATATTTTAATTTTTAGTTAACAGCTTATTCAATTACTTATTTAAAAATTTATTAATTATAAATTTTATTAACATAAATTTAGAATGTTATATTTTAATAAATTTTATACCAAATTATAAAAATAAACTATAAGAAATAATGAGAGTTTAAGCTATTTTCATAATTTTTTTATAAATTAAATATCGTACTCATAGCATCAAAAGTTTTGTGCTCTTTATTGGTTAAATTATTAATGTATCAGGTTTTTAATAAAAATTAATTAAGAGATTAAAAATTCTACGTTTACTATTGTAAGACAAATCTGAGTTAGATAACTTTCTTTATAGATTTATTGTGTATTTATTATTATCATTGGCGTGTATTGGTGTAGGTGCGACTCTGAACAAAGGGTTCAATCGATCTTTGGGAACTATTTCCGCTGGAGGGCTTGCTCTGGGTATTGCTGAGTTGTCCGTTTTAGCTGGAAAGTTTGAGGAACTCATCATCGTACTATGCATATTTATTGCAGGTCAATTTTTTCTTTTCCCAGTTGAATAAACTTTACATTTTGTAGGTAAACAAATGTCAACTTTACGCATTCTTTCCAATACATTTTATATTATTAAATAAAATTTATATGAATCTTATTAAATGACATTCGTTTTTTTTATTTAATAACTCCTATCTATTAAATTAATAGAACTTAAGAAGATTTTGCCTAATAATAAGAATTGTATTCTTTTTTGTTGGTAGCCCAAAGTCTGCGAAGTTACTCGCATTAATTTGGTTTCTGCAAGTTGTTCTTTGGTCGGGTATAAAGTATTTATTGAAATTATCAAACTTGCTATTAAGTTCGGGTTCATTGCAGATGTCAAATTGCTAACAACTATATCCCTCGACACCAAAACATCATAAATAACATTTTTAAGATTGATAATTGTATATTTATTTTATGTAAATAGTAATTTTTTATTAAAAGGTATATTGGAAGTGCATTAAAAATTAGAGGATACGAGCAATGCTGCAATTTTTTAAAATTATTTTTAAATTCTTAACCAATATCTTAAAAATATTAGTAATTTTTCTTTATTTCTCCATTTTTAAATAATCGTTATTTTTTAACCAATGCCTTAATACTATTGTTTTTTTACTTTTTTTTCTCCCAACTTTATCTTTGATTTCTTTTTTGGTATCATCAATAAGTGAAACAAGAGCATTAATAGAGTAAGAGGGTAAGAACAAATATAGTTAAATGAACTGCTATTTTCTTTGGAACTGGTAGTTTTTAGTGACATTTCTTAATTTTTTGCATAACCTTAAACGATAATTATTTATTTTAAAAAAATTATAATTATTTGAACAAATATTAAATTTCTCCTTTACTTGGTTATTTAATATTGAGACGGAAGAGTAATGAAGAGTTTAACACATAAATGATATTGTTACTTTTTTATATTTTTTATTCATATATTTATTTTGTCTTTTTTATTTTTTCAAAAAATACAAAAATTAAATTTTTTCTCTCTTTAAAAATTAATATATTTAAAATTTCTATTTACATTTTTATGATTTTTAAAAAAATTCTCACTCTAAAAATTAACATTTAAAAAATTATTATTTTTTATTTTCTTGCTATTTTACTCTAGACCATGATAAATATTTAATCTAAATGATAAATCCCAATACATGCATGAGTCACTAAAATCTCTCAAAATGGAGGAACTAAAAAAAAACAAGGTTAAGAAGGTTTTGGGAATTTAGAAAAAATCCTCAACTCTTCCCCTCATATTTAATTAACTTCTAAATAAAGGTTAGTGATCAATAATTCCTCCCTTCCCCTTCTCTCTTCCTTCTCTCTTAAGCATGAAATCCAAATAAAGCCTAAGAAAATGATTCTTTCATACAAAAACTGAAATAACCTAAAAAGAGTTATTGGAAGGTCATAAGCCAATCTTATCCCAAAAAATCTCTAAAAACACTTTCTAATGCCTCCTATTCTGTCAACTAATATATGCAAATTTTAACTAATAATCAAGTCCTTGTTATCTGGAATGAAAATAATCTAAAGTTTTTTACAGCCTAATAATATTACTAACTCTCATGCTCAATTACAATATTTGTTTTAAAAAAAATTAGAATTGATGATTCTGCTTTTGGGGTCTGCAGGATTTTGTGCAAGCTATGTGAAACTGCTGCCTGCAATGAAGACATATGAATACGGCTTTCGTGTGTTTTTGTTGACATTTTGTATTGTATTGGTATCTGGAAGAACTAGCAGGGAGTTTTTCACAACAGCATTTTACAGATTAATTCTTATTGCTGTTGGAGCTGGCATATGTTTGTTTGTAAATATTTTCATATACCCAATCTGGTCAGGGGAGGATCTGCATAAATTGGTGGTGAAAAATTTCAATGGAGTTGCTGCATCATTAGAAGGTCTGCTTGAATTTACTCATATGATCTTAATCGTTGCAGATATTTGTTAGTGTTGTTTATACCTAGTTGCTGCATTTAATTTGGTGCTGTAGTCACTCTCAGCTGGTTCCTGTGTAACTTTGTTTAGGCTGTGTTAGTGGGTACCTGCAGTGTGTTGCATATGAGAGGGTCCCTTCAAAAATTCTTGTTTATCAAGCCTCGGACGATCCACTTTACCGTGGCTATAGAGCAGCAGTGCAGTCGTCAAGCCAAGAGGAATCTTTGGTAGTCGTTTTTTTTGTAGTTGTCGTCTCTCCCTTCAAATAACTTAAACTAGTGGTTACATTTTACAATTGTATCTTACCCTTGAAGGTAGATTTTGCATTATGGGAGCCACCTCATGGTCCATACAAGACATTCAATTATCCTTGGAGAAGCTATGTTAAACTCAGTGGAGCTTTGAGGCATTGTGCTTTCATGGTCATGGCAATGCATGGATGCATACTTTCAGAAATACAGGTAAAAGGAACCTTTCTTTTCCCGATCTGTGCAAGACTTCTGCTGCATTGTAACTTTTTTAGTGTTCTATTTTACCTTGTCTTTTCTTTTCTATTTCCTTTTTCAAGATAGGGGGGATTTAGCCATGAGTGAACTATTGGTTTATATTTTGCTCTGTTCACCGTAAATTTATCCAGTTTCATATACTTGATTGGCAGTTTATTTTTAACTGTTACTTTCATTAAGTCTACCTGGTTGTTTTCTTTATAGTGTCTTCTTTCAATCTTTGGCAAGCGAACACTTGGCATTATATCTTCACCTTCCATGAACTTACTATTTGATTAATTTTGACTATTGTATCGAATGCTGAACATGTAGAATGTGGGTACTTAATAAATGATTAGGTTGAAAATCAGTCGAAGACCAGATATATCTGAACTAAAAGAAGGGAGTTGGGCTTGGGCAACGTTCAATTCACTTTTTTTATTTTATTATTATGATTAAACCATACATATCTTAAGTTAATTGCATATATATTGAGGACTGGTTTATCCCTTTTCTATGTACTTAAAGAATGGAAAATATTTTCTTATTAATTAATTAATTCCAAGGAACCAATTCATTTACATCTGGGTAATGAAACATCCGTATATGTGTAAGGAGATTGATTTATTCCAAAATGTTTAAATTCCAGAGTATACTTGAGGAATGGTTAACTTACATGATTAGCGTTACAATTTCTATTTCCTTTTGATGGCTTAAGTGTCATCCTCTTAAAACATCTCCCGAAATGCCAGATTATCAGCATTGTATAATTTCTCTAAAGACTCTTCCTTTAAAATCCATGAATAGTCTAAGTACTTAGTTTACGCGACTACTAAGATCTAATTATTCAGATCGTTTTCTTTCTTTTCCCCATATTTAAGATACGATAACTGAACCTCTTATGATTGTTGCTGTAAAATTAACGTATGCTGACTTTGAAGATAGCTAACTTCCAAGTTATAATTTCAAATTATTGTAAATGATGTGTCATTTATCAATTGGCTTGGTAAGGTAGGAGATTTTTGCTGTTTTAGTCATCATCAATTATCATTGAAGTTGTGGTTGTGCTGTGTCTGCACAAACGAAAACATAATGTTATTTGAGTCCATGTTTTTCTAGGTTCGAACTCACCTTGAAACCTTGAAACGGTGAATCTGTGAATGAAAATCAAGGAATCGGATTTCCCCCTTTTATTTTACCAACGAGAATTGAAATATATTAAGATACAGTTTTTTTTGGAAGTGTCTAAGATCATACAATAAAAACTAATGTGCAGTAAGTTTTTATTAAAAATCATAAAATATTATAGAATTTCAATATATTGATACACTATTAAGTAGTACAAATTTCAATAAAATTTACTATTTTTTTTTAATTTCTTATTGTATGTTCTTAGATATACAGTAAAAAAGTCGATTAGGATAATACTTTATTTTAGGTTCTTACTCTTATGTTTGTGTTACTATATATTGTTGATATCCAAAGTTCATAAATATAGGCACCCCCAGAAAAGAGGCTGGTTTTCAGTAATGAGCTTCAGAAGGTAGGTACTGAAGGAGCCAAAGTATTGCGTCAACTTGGAAGCAAAGTGGAAAAGATGGAAAAGCTAAGCAATATAGACATACTCTTGAAAGTGCATGATGCTGCTGAGCAATTGCAGATGAAGATTGACCAACAATCATTTTTATTGGTCAATTCAGAGAGCTGGCAAGCTTCAAGAAAGCCTAAAGAAATTGAAAATCCTGACAATTTGATTGATGTTAAAGACAGTGAAAGCAAGCAGTCAATCATCTCTTCCCTCAGTGAAAATGGGGATGATTCAAGACTTAACATAAGCTTAGAGCCTTCAGTGGCTGAATTGAGCTTTTCACAAAACATGATGTGCAAAAGAATATCATGGCCACGTCTCTCATTTTTGGGAGATAACTTGGTAATTGAACAAGATTCCAAAGTATATGAGAGTGCAAGCTCCTTGTCTTTGGCAACATTTGCTTCTCTTTTAATAGAGTTTGTTGCAAGGCTTCTAAATCTTGTGGATGAATTCCAAGATCTCAGTGAGAAGGCCAATTTCAAAGACCCGTTTGACCAACAAGTGCAAGTGTTGAAGTAGGTGACAGTGACACTGGAGTTTGGTCCATATTTTACAGGCGCCTTTATTTCCAAGTTGGAGGTATCTATAATCCATCTAACTATAAATGTACAATGATATAATCCATCATAATCCACAATATATATAGGATAATATAAAAGTTATTCCGCATTTTTCTTAAATTCTCATTTTTTATTTATTGTAAATTATAATATTATTTATTTGTTTTACTTCCCAATCTTCTTCATATCTTTCTTGCTTGACTTTTTATATATTTTTACCTTTCAATTTTTTTTTGTTTTCTATCGTTTTTCTAAAATTTTCAAACAAATAGCGATCAAAGTACATTAATTTTCAATAAAATAACAAAAACTCATTTTATTACATAAATTAATCCCAAATATATATATATATTAGTAAATTGCTCTTTAAATACTATCCTTTAACTTAGTTGTAAATTTTATTATCTTTTGATTTCATAATAAATGTATTTGAATAATAGTTATAATTTGATTTTTATGTTTCATTAGTAATGTATTTTTATTTTATTAATGTTAATAATATTAGTATAAAAACATTATTATAGTTTTTATAGATACATATTTGCTAACATACTAAAAATTGTTTACTACATATGAGATGAAATTATCTAAATTTTACATTTTCAATAGATGTTGATTTATTTTATTAGATGAAATAATAAAATATACAATGAAACAATAAAAAAAGTAATAACTTCTTAGTGGTAGAAACATATATATCAAAGCACCAGATTGAATTGACGTCTTTGATTATAAAACGGAAAAATCGATCTATTGTGTAGTTCTTTGTTTCGAAGTAGCCGAGAACTGGTGAAAAATTGGCTAAATCAGTATTATATCAATAAAACTAGTGATTCATTGATTTGAACCATGTTTTTTAATTTAATTTTGTTAACCTTCATCTTAAAATTAAGTTTTACTAACACTATTTTTTACCTAAATAAAGACCTGCATCAAATTACAAAGGCCACATGTATAAACAAGGCAGCAAAGCATCGTATGAATTTCCCGTTCTTAGCTTTTACATCAAATTTGGGTTACGTCTAATGACTTACCATTTATTTGATATATAGCGGCACAATTATGTTTTAGCTGTTGAATATGTATTTAGATTAATTGTTAAAATTAGCATTGCCTTGTAATATCTATTTAGATTAATTGTTAATTTGTCCTTAAAAATCAGAATATGTACCGTATAAAACTGAGTTCGCGCAGACGAGAACATGAAGATTGAAAACTGCATATACAATGTCGTTGCAGAGAATTGTCAACCTAACAGCAAACTTAAGTCGCCTCAGTAATAGCGTGTTTGTCAAGGATTTTTTCACAAACTTCTTGTTTTGTCTTAGTTTCTGAACTATGATTGTTCACCCTCTGAAATACATGTGTTGCAATTATTTTCTCCTTGAGTTTGCAACGATAATTTCTACATGAACCACTTCTGCGATCATTTTCACCTAAGTTCATTACATGCCAAATAAATTTTAAAACAAATTTGATAGCCTAGCCATCATTTTTATCGCTTTTTTATTCACGGTTAGCACTCCCTCACTGTTCACAACACCACACTCACATAACATGAACAACTCAGCATGACAATTTTTTTCTTTAAGAAATAACAATCAATATCAAATCATAGTTAAATAAAATGCTCCTTTCATCATGCAAAATAAATTTAGTATACGAAGGATATAGTACTTTCAAATTTTAATATTTGATAACAATATTAAATTCAAGTCAAATCAATCACTCATTTGAGATTTTTTAACTAAGATGGTCCATGAAGTAGATAAGCAACAATAGTAAAAGTTATGCTAGTAGCACAATTGTGACACTAACTAATGATGATAATGGTCATAATGATTTTGGTAGTAACCATATGAATTGATATTTACTACCTTTTCAAATTACAAGTCATATCCTTTTGAGACTCTTCCATTAAGTCCCCAGTTGCTATAAATTGCAAATAAAATTATAGAAATGAAATAACAAAACATTAGCAAATATAATTTGAAAATAAACTCAAAATATATCAAACATCACACGATGTAATTCAAAAATAAAGTCAATATACCAAATAATATTATAACATATTTTGCAAGTTTCCTCCAATTTTGGAAAAAGAAATGAACTCGAGCAAACAATTCAATTCTCCTGACTTATAGAAATAAATACTATTAGTCTATGATAAAATTAGATTACATTATTACACATCAAAGGATCTAACATATGTTTCAAGTTGTCATCAATTTTTATAAAAGAAAAAATGAACTCAAGTTTAAACTATGCTAATTTATAAAAATAAATATCATAAGATTATGACTAGAATGAGATTACACGGTTACAATAAAGGCCAACAATAGAATAAACTCAAACAAAAATGCTACGTTTTAGTAATCTACCATCAATTTATGTTAAAATTTTGACAATGTTGTACAATAATATTAACCTTCATTAAAATTAGTCAGTAGCAATACTGAAATATTTGAAAAGAAAGTAAATAAACATTTAAATATCTTAAGGTAGATGTACGTATATCAATATAATTATAATGATAACTACATGCATGTGAATGCATGGAAATCAATCAAATGAGTCAAAAAGGACTAATAATAATAATAATAATAATAATAATAATAATAATTTACTAATAGAGACTAAAATTGTTTTAAAAATTAATAGGACTAAAACAAAAAAAAGTGACTAAAATTTAAAAATTAAAAACATATTTAAACTATAAATTTATTATTAAGATTAAATAAGTATTAGGTTGTAGAATACTAAATTTTTTTTTCTCAATTTTAACTATTTAACAATGATAAAGAAAAAATAATATAAATTTTGTTAAATAGGAATTATTAACAACATATTCAAATAATTATCATGAAGATATTTAATGAAATCACCTCGAAAGAAATAAATTGTGTAAAAAAGAAATTTGTTTGTTTATATGAAACATTTTCCGGCAAATAAATTGTGTAAGAAAGAAAGAAGAAAAAGAAAAGAAAAAGTTGGTGCTAAGTGTACACGAGTTTAAAACTTGAGCAATTGAAAAGAGAATTTGAGTTTTGGGACCTTGAACTCCATTTGCCTGTTGTCCTTCTTGTTCATTCTATATAGCGTTAGGGTTTCCAGAGTTCCATTTTTTCTCCACACTCACTCAGCATTGGCATGTGTAGGACTCCTGAACCAAAATAACGCGTTTTTGAAACCGCAATTTGACGCTATCCAACGTTTTGAAAGAATTCGCAATTCCTTCCCAGTTTCGTTTTGGCGAATAGCTAATTTGAAAGATATCGATATTATCTTCCGACAGGGTACGCTGTTTTTGTTCCTCCGCCTCAGGATTTGAACTCTAGGGTTTTGTTGACAAGTTTTGACTTGTCAATTTAACAGCATTTTCATTTTTTTTTTTAATTTGGAGAAAATTTTGAAATGTGTTGGAAATAGCATGGTACCAAATATCTGAACTGAGAGTAAAGTAATTTTTGTGAAATTAATTTGATATTAATTTGATGCGAAGTTCGAGTTTTTCTTTCTTCTTTTCATTTTAGTTGAAAGATTTATGCATTTAAATTATGGTAGTTTGACAATCTAATAATATTTTCTAACAATTTGATTATATTTACTTAGCTTCTTACGATTTGATTTTAACTGATTCTGCCAGAAATCTTGGAAAGAAAAGAAAATGTCTATAGTTGATGAGCCGCTATATCCAATAGCAGTTCTTATTGATGAACTGAAAAATGATGACATCCAGCTGCGGTTGAACTCAATTCGAAAGCTATCAACAATTGCACGTGCTCTTGGGGAGGAGAGAACCCGTAGGGAATTAATACCGTTTTTAGGTGAGAATAATGATGATGATGATGAGGTGCTTCTTGCAATGGCAGAAGAGTTGGGGGTGTTTGTTCCTTTTGTTGGGGGAGTGGAACATGCACATGTGTTACTCCCACCTTTGGAGACGCTTTGCACCGTTGAGGAAACTTGTGTGAGGGATAAAGCTGTAGAATCACTTTGTAGAATTGGATCTCAGATGGGGGAGGGTGATTTGGTTGAGTATTTCATCCCTTTGGTGAAGGTCAGATTACATTGTTCCATTGATATAAATGCTTTTGTCATTACCACGTGTCAAACTCTGTTTTGAATGTCTGTAACTAGATTTTGATGCCTATTGGTGTTATGATTATTGCATTCATTTAATTTTCCTTGAATTTTAACTATTTAAAGTAATATAAAAAATCTGTTTCTTCTTGGGAAACAAAAATGTGGGTGACTAATGTATCTATGTTAGCTTGTGTTAGAATTAAAAAAGGGCAACCCAGTGCTACAAAGAGCACGGCGGGGTCAAGAGAAGGGTTGGACACTTGGACCTACCTATTATGTGCTATTGTAGGTAGCCTAGCATTTGCAAGAGGCCAATTCCATGAATGTGAATCTGTGGCCTCCTGCTCACAGGCAGCAAGTCTAATAATTTTGCCAAGGCTCCCCTTCAGCTTGTGCTGGAATATATAGAAATTATCTCAAACTTTGATATTATGTCATAGAATATTTGAGAGTATCTAGGATGATCTCTTAGGAGTTGTTATCATATTTCATTACATATCTTGATTTTCCTTATTTGATTTATTTTATTACGTGTAGGAGTTAGTTGTATTCTGCTAATATAAATGTGTGTTTAAATACACAGCTTAATTGTTTGTAAATAATGGCTCACGCCTTAAATTTAACAATAAAGCTTATTGGGATAAGTTGAAAACAACTTATTTTAATAAGAAGCTTATTGAAATAAGCTGATAAGAGCTTATGGGAAGCAATTTCCATAAGCTGTTTATAAGCTCTTCCAAATGGGCCCTAAATAGGGGTTAACGCTGTCCTTTGCATCCCAATATACATATGAGAATGTTGTTTATAATCGTCTATTTCAACAACTTGAGTAATGCCCTCATGTAGCTTATACACACTACTGCTTGGCCACAGTATCTTACACGTTGGCAGTACTAAATGGTTATA